GGATCAACTTTTGTTGTAAAAGAACATTGCAACTTGTTGATGCAACACTGGATGACACATGGATCAATGTTTGTTGTAAAAGAACATTGCAACTTGTTGATGCAACACTGGATGACACATGGATCAATGTTTGTTGTAAAAGAACATTGCCACTTGTTGATGCAACACTGGATGACCCATAAATCATCTTTTGTTGTAAAAGAACATTGCAACTTGTTGATGCAACACTGGATAACACATAGATCAACTTTTGTTGTAAAAAACAATGTTGCAACTTGTTCATCCATGTGTGTCTTGAGTGGGAACTAATAAGTGCGCCCTCAACTGATGAACTTCACACATGATTAAACTTTTGTTTTTATGAAAATTGACAAATTATACACTGGGTGTTCTCACCTAGTAAATGGCTGACAGGGAGGACTCATCAACAACACATCAGCATTAATTTTCATGAACTCCTTTAGAGTGATTCCCTGTTAGTAAAGAGCAGCTATGTTTAGATTAATCACAGGTTTTATCAAATGATGACCTAGGGAGATGTGAACATGAACCTGAAGCAGAAGCAGAATTTGTACAGCAATGCATGATAGGGTTTATTATAATAAAGACACAAGCAGCCTCGCGGCTGAGATAGCTCTGCTGTTAGCAAAGCACATTTCAATTAAAGAACTAAAGATATCATTAGAAAATGAACAATATGTATTAGTATCAAAGCAATCAGACTTGCTGTTTTCAACAAAAAGTTGAAAATATCACTTTTATCAAAAATGACAAAAATATTAATTATAATTAGATAATTGAAGATATCATCACGAAATCAACAAATCTGAGAGTGGTCCACATGTAGTACCTATATATGTAATATCAAAGCAATCAGACTTGCGGTTTTCAACAAGAAGTCAACAATATCACTTTTTACGAACATGGCAAAAATATTCACCAAAATTAGAGAATTCAAGATATCATCACAAAATGAACAAATCTAAGAAAGATCTACCAAAGGTACATATACACCCAGTGTAGTGTTCTACTTCTGTATTAGTGTGACCTTTGACCTAGTCTTGTCTTGTAATTAATTATGCGGGCATGCTCAGTAGCGCCTAGCAACCAGGAGCAGTCATCAGTTGGTTAAAATAAACAAACCAGTTTTTCCCTTAGATAAACTGTCTCATAATTATTCTTTAAGAACATTACACTAAGTATCAAAGCATTCAGGCATGTAGTTTTCAAGAAGAAGTCAAAATAGTAAAAAGTTGACACGAACAATGATGGGCGACAGACGCCGACAGACAATCACTCATACGATAAGCTCCACTTGACTTGAAGATTATTCGATAAAAAAAATAGCTCTTAAATGCTTAAATTGAGATTTGTCTGTGAAATTTAAAGCAAGTCTTAGATGTATTGGGGCAACCAATTTACAAACTCACCAGCGAATTGGCTAACTGCTTGTGTTTTGACTGAACAGGCGGTTTACGAATCTTGCTGGCACTGACTTGTGTCCACGTCTTCTCTGGGCGAGTCAATATTGCAGTAGGGGACATAGAATGCTTATACGCATCCTTGTACCCGTCTAAGATTCCCTTTTCAAAGGTGATTTGCTGTATTACGCGAGACATGATAATGCAAAGTAGTTTACCATTACCACATTTTTAGCCATGTACGAGTAATTTACGAAATGTATGCACATAATATGACATTTGTGTCATAATCGCACATATCCCACGCCTTTCCCTGTCAGAAACATGGTCAGCTCACGTACAAGTAATAATAAGACAAATGTGATTAATTCACCAATATTTATTCCATGGGGCCGGATATCTTGAACATGGCTTGGAGCTAAATATGAAGACAAGTTGAAAAATGGGTTTTTCAGATTCATACAAATCAGGAGAAAAATAGCAAACCTTCATAGCCAATTGATTCGTTGGGGTAACATTGAGCCAAACACTAATAAAACTCGTTCGCGTTCATTTTTGTGTGGAAAATCCCTTGCATACGAACACATGAAGAACATAGAAAACTTTACCCATCACTGATTTATTTTCAATCTTAGTATATTCAAATAATTAGAACAAAAAATGGACAACATAGTACAAATCGTTTACAAAATCGCTTATTTATAAAATTACTGTATGTCCCCCCCCTACTGTAATATAGAGCAGTGGCCAATTTGCTAGCGAGTTTGCGAATTGGCTGCCGCTAGCAAATTGGCTTCCGCCCCAATATTTCTGAGACTTGCTGTAAAAGGTTTCAACAATATGATGCCAACTTTAAAACACAGAATGTTAGAGTTATCTATAGCATTATTATCAGGTGTTGTTTCTGTGATCAAGACTTACTTCAATAGATCTTTGCATTAGATTGCAGTCAGGAAAGTTAAATTGATAGACCTCATTAGCAATAGTGTTGATATCCACAGCTGCTACCACATCTGCTGAGACACCACTTTCTGTGTAGTAAAAAAAATAATTTAGTATTTATTTTGTCAATTTATGGAAAATGTGATTATATATACAGAACTTGTGGTCTGAGGTGGACAAATTTCATCAGAAGACATATTTATTTTTGAACAGCACACAAGTTGGGTATTCTATTGATATTACAGTAAAACCTGTATTTATGACCACCTCTATATAAAGAACACCTGCCTATTATGCCCACTTGTTGCAGTCTCAAAGCATATCCGTAACATATACGCAACTTGTGTATACAAAACCATCTGTCCTATGTGAACAACCTTTCAGCAACATGTTTACAGATTTGCCTTTTTTAAGAAATCAAAATAATAAATAGCGTTTTCTTTATACAATAATTTAAAATTTCCCCTTTTCAAACTTATTTGATTTTCATCAACTCTAAAAATTCTTTTTTTCTTGCAGCAGTACTATCACTTTATTATCTGCACAAGTATTATGACAAATGTATGAGTGATCCATAAAAAAATAACACAACCTCCACATGAAGACCACTTGTCTATAAGAGACCATTTTAATGAAGACCTTTGAGTGGTCGCTATACACAGGTTTGACTGTACAAGGATGTTTGGATAGTGGTGGGAGTCGAGGTTTAGAGCAAAATTGTAATCAACGTTAAGAATGGTGCGCATGGATTGGCATAGTCTGGAATCTGGCCATTCAGATTGCCCTTCCCAGTTCACATAAGAATAGCCTGGTGAATCACTAAATAAATATGCAGATGACACAGAATTCTGTTTAAGCGGTGATTGGCTGTCCACATGACTATAGTACATTGCCATGGGAACTTGAGCACAGACTGACTTGTATGTAAGGCAAGCTCACAGCCCTCCAGACCAGGGGGTGGGGGTGGGGAGGTAGGGCTGAAAGAGTGTGGTCACTGGTCAGTGTATTTTTTGTGGTGTCTTATCTGTACATTTTTATTTTTCTTGAATGTGACAACGATTTTTTTTTTGCAACACTTTGCATGAAATTTTTATTCCAGTCATCTCCATGAGTGTGAAGACAGCATACGGTTCGATTCGTGTATGATTCATGTTTGATTCACATACGATTGATACTCCTAAAACCTAAAATTCAAGCGAATGTTCATACACATATGATACATATCAATTTCAGCTAATTTAACAATATTTTTGTGCAGAAAAATAGAGATCAATTTAGTATTTTCTGTGGAAATCAAGGTTATAAATACATTTATAGTGCGCATGACAGTTCCTTGATGCGTCTGTGAGGCAATGATTTTTAAATAAAAACATCAACGTTCTTGTTTCAAAGATTTTATTTGTTTTTTTAAATTCAGTGGTGATAATGTGAGACTTTTAAACATATTTATGCATTTTTCGACTGTCTCTATAGCTTTTATACTTGTTTGAGCCCACGTGACTTCCGATGTGATAGAGACTGGGACTATTTATACCGGTAACCATGATTTTTCCCAAAAGCAATAGGTTGATTCCCATTTTTCCTACACAAAATATGCTATACATATGAATATGACATTTGTGTAAATTATAGATATTTCAATCGTACGTCAATCATACGCAAATGGTACGCGAATCAAACCGTACACTGTCCTCACACTCGTGCCATCAACCATGATTTCAAATGATCAGGCAGCATCAGGTCTCTGTCAATCATCACAATAAAAAATATGAATGTACTGTATGCTCTTTTCAACGGATCTACTTGCAAGATTCAAGAAATGAGTATAGACACAATTTTGGCACTTAATTTAATAAGTAGATTCTCTACATTTTGGTTGTGTTTGCATATGTCTGCGGCTTCTCAGAACAAAACTGAGCCTGTTAAATTTTCAGCTGAAACTAGTTATTAAGAGTCTTATTTTGTTTTGAACTTTGACCTCCCTAATTTGAAATTTTATATTTCCTTGTAGCTCATAATCTCTACCAGGGTACTTTCAAACATTGTAATTTTTATTTTGTTACCATGAGACCCAACAGAAAAAATGCACTTGTTATAAGTTTAAACAAGGTAAAGTAAAAAGGCAAGTAAAAACAGAACGTTAAAATAACATAAGATTAGGTAGTAAAAGATTAATGTAGTTTGTGTTTTTCAAAACACCATTTCAGATACCGTGTCACATGTCTAATTAGTTTAGGATGGTTATTATTAATAAGGATAATAAACTTGTTGATATTGTTTTCAGACTGGAAAGTGGGGATTTCCTAAGTAAATTTAGCGTATATGTTTATGTGCAGGGTTGCCCAGTGGCTGCTAGTACTAGTACATTATGTTGTTCAGTGACTTTGCTGCTGATCTCGGAGACGGTGTTGGGTCTAATAAATAACAACAATAAATGTACTAGTACCTTTCACAGCATAGTGCATGCCACCGATCCCACTATAGAGCTCCAAGACACGCAAACCCATTACAATTTACTCATTCTTGCAATCAGATAAAGCAATAATGTGCGGAGCGAATCCTGGCCCTCACGCTGCAGTTGATCAGCTGATTTGCCGGAAGTGGTGACAACGTGCTGATCACTGAGGTCAACAGGTCAGCGTTGAGGTCACACTGCACTGTGAAGCCGGTATCACCAGCGGCAGTCGTATGCTATGGCGGAAAACACGAAGATGCTGTCACTTGCAAGAGTGTGTTAAGTAACCGATCGTTACTTTCTCTGCCAAGGTGCAGGACGCTTTCCACTTCCGTACAGCCGTTCTTATTCACAAATCCAGTGTGAACTGATATACAGTATCGGTAAAAAACAACAAATAATGGCATCAACCACCTCGTACTTTCGCCACCAGGCAGTCATTTTTATTGCCATGTACCTTGGTTACGCTTTATATTCGGCCACAAGGAAATCATTTACTTATGTCATGCCTTATATAATTGAAGAAAGGGAAGTTAGCAAAAGTGATTTAGGTAAGTCTAATTGCCGTCGTTTGATTGATCGATGTGCGAATATCAATGAGCCAATAGTGTGTTTATGGTGTTGTACGTGGCATTGTCATTATACCAGTACCTTATGTTTCCTGGGGTGGTCTGTCAGTTTTACTTACATTTTACAATTGGTTTACTCGGTATGCAGATGCGGCGTTTACACTGTATCGTTGATCTGTGTATTTTATAAATCAAATCAACAAGCGCTTTGAAATCGGGATTTGTGCTACAACTTTGAAGTTCACCTTTTACGTTTTCTCAATCGACACTTTTGAATATTTAAAAAAAAATGATTCTCGCAAAAAACAAATTTAAAAATGAATAAATCAATCAATATGAAAAATATATACAGTAATTGAAATGTTTTTGGAAAATAAGTGTCATAAAAGGTCTGATACCAGCATGTTCTGTTGCACTATTTGAAGAGTCTACTAAGCACATTATAAACTTCACGAATATGAGTGAGTGACTACAACAAATTTATAAAATTAATGAGCGATACAAACCTGAATGTACAAATACCAGTTGCCCAATTTATCAAAAATAACACAAACCTTAGACAGCAACATCTTCTGGCAAATTAACATAAATCCTTTTTTTGCTCATTTCCATGTTTTAATGATTTACTGTTTATTGCTTTTTTTTTTTTTTATTATTTCATCTATTTTTTTTTATATTAAAAACTACAATTACAAAAAAAATATTGATATATGTAAGTAACATATATCAATAGTTTTTTTGTAATTGTATTTTTTTTTTTTTTTTAAACCATCGTCATGCTTTAGATAGTGATTTTGTAAAATTTGTATGTTTTATATATGTGTTAGCAGTTAGTGTAACCATTTTAATTCCTTCTGAGGAATTTTAAGTGCTTCAATAAACTAAACTAAACTTGTTGTTGCCTTTTAAGTGTAAGTGCTGGAATTTGTTTATAATTTTGTATTAGTAGTGCTGTATATCACTGTATGTATTAAAATGCAACTGCTCATCACAATATGCCACAATATGTCAAGTGACGTCCATAAAAACAACTGATCAGATTTAATTTTGCCTGTTTTGTACACTTTATGGTCTGGATTACGGTTCTTGCACTCCAAGGACATATACAAGGGTATGTTAGCCATACGGCCGAAAATTAATCTTATTTGGTGATTTGGACCTCCCCAATGAGTCTTTGGCAAACTCACCTAGTGTACACTGTTTTTGGCCACTCTCTATTTAAACTGTGGCACCTAGGTAGAAATTGAAATTGAGATTTTGAAATTGTTCCCCCTGATATGATATGTGTCGCACTATGCCAAACCATGCCGTGTCTTTTATCATTCAAGATAATTTATAGCTGACATGTTCTTGGATGTTAACTGCTTTTTCTAATTTGTTATGTTTTATTAATTTTACTTCTCAGTTGCCTATTTAGATAATTTTAATTTGCCTATTTTTAATATTACAAAGTTTTGGGTCAATGGTGCAATAGTACAAGTACTGATGTGAAAAAACGACATCACCCAATATGTCCAAATAAGGACAATGGTACATTATACCAAATACAAAGTTTTTAAATGTAATGACATTTCTTGAATCTTTGGTGTACTGGTAGTTGTGTAAATTTCGAAAATTTTATTTCTTTTTGTTCTGACCTCCTCTCGATATATTCTATAATTGAAACACTAACAAAAATACAGTAAAGTCACATTTTGTGTAAAGTAACAACTAATTCATTTTTTATGTTACACAGGTCTGATTATAAGCAGTCAAACGTTCGCTTATGGCATCAGCAAGTTTATTAGCGGTGTGTTCGTTGATAGACTGAGTCCAAGATTAATGTTTTCTTTTGGGCTGTTCTTCTGTGGTGTTGCGAATTTAGTATTTCCCGCTTTTGAAGCCATATCTGCATATGCTTTACTCTGGTTTGTGAATGGCATTGCACAAGGATTTGGTTGGCCTGCATGTGGAAAAATATTAAAACAGGTAAGTTTTATCCATTTAAACGCGAAGGTGAATTTTTGTGAATTTTTTTCTTTTGAAATTCAAAAATGTTGATCAGAACCTAAAAAACCTGGAAAATTATATCCAAATTGAACAAAAATTGTCAGAGGAATTATTGTAAAGTACTTAAAAAATGTTCCACCAAGAATTTGGTAGAAGAAAAAAAGATGTTCAAAAAGCAAACTTTTTTACAACCTTTCTGTTTTTTCAAAAAAATATACAAGTGAAAAAATTACAAATAAAATGAAAATTAATTGCAAAATCTATGTACCATTATAGCTAAAAGATGAAAATAGCAAATAAAACCCCAAAACAAACAGTGGTCAGATTGAATAATGGTATACGGAATTAATTTCATAGTATGGGAAACCACTTGTAAGTGGTTGGTAAGTTTATCAATGAATATCGTTAACATCTATATTGAATAACTATGTGTAGAACATAAAAAAACACAATATAATACAATGTGTATGTAACCAATAACACATATTTCCCTGATGGTCTTCATCTAATTTGTATAGCATTACATAACTTGAATTGAGATTTTTATTGAAATTTTAGTGGAATATTTTGTGTTCAGAGTCATTGTGTGGTGAGTTTTTACATGACAGTAAACTTGTCTTTCTATGTATTAGTTCAGGGCAATGCAAAAAATATGGGAAATGTTATGCATATTTATTTTGTAAAAGGTGACATTTAAAATTTATATACTGTCAGCTGGTAAATAATGAATGCGAAGAATTTCATGGTTTGAATCAAACATTTTGCCGCTTTCCTTATTGAAATTTGTGGAAATTTTTGTAAAAAATATAACAGTACACGTTTTATTTTGAGAACTTATACATGTGCTCTTAATAAAACAAATGTGTTTTACTCTTATAATAAATCTTTCTCTCTCTATTCTGTTATTGTTTTCGTCTGATTTTTGACTCCAGTTTGCGAAGCACACGATGAGTCTTTGCAGTTGTGTGTCTGTATGTGTATGTGTATGTCTGTGTGTGTATGTTGGGTTTTGATGAGACTTGATGCATATATGCTCTGGGCTAATGCACATATTTGATTAAGTTTGGGTTTAAATCAATGCATATTAATTGCCTAATTTACATTTGCTAATTTTTAGCTGTTTCTTGACTGTTTCATTGTTTTGAATTAATTTGTACATATAATTAGCTTATTTGCATAATAATTTAACTACCTTGAACATGTTTTGTTTGCTTTAATAAATGGATTGAACTTGGTACAATTTGTACTACATGTGTAGTTTCATAACTGGATTGACCTACCAGTATGCATTATAATTAGCTTAATTGCATAAATAGTGTTAGCACATTTTTTGTATATCTTTACATTTACATAACTGAATTGACCTACCAGTATGCATTTTAATCATCTTATTTGCATAAATAGTGTTAGCACATTCTTTGTAAATCTTTATATTTACATAACTGAATTGACCTACCAGTATGCATTTTAATCAGCTTATTTGCATAGTGTTAGTACATTTTTTTCTATATCTTAATATTTACATAACTGAATTGACCTACCAGTATGCATTTTAATCAGCTTATTTGCATAAATAGTGTTAGCACATTTTTTCTATGTCTTTATATTTACATAACTGGATTGACCTACCAGTATGCATTATAATTAGCTTAATTGCATAAATAGTGTTATCACATTTTTGTATATCTTTATATTTACATAACTGAATTGACCTCCCAGTATGCATTTTAATTAGCTTATTTGCATAAATAGTGTTATCACATTTTTGGATATCTTTATATTTATATTTACATAACTGAATTGACCTACCAGTATGCATTTTAATCAGCTTATTTGCATAAATAGTGTTAGCACATTTTTTCTATATCTTTATATTTACATAACTGGATTGACCTACCAGTATGCATTATAATTAGCTTAATTGCATAAATAGTGTTATCACATTTTTGTATATCTTTATATTTACATAACTGAATTGACCTCCCAGTATGCATTTTAATTAGCTTATTTGCATAAATAGTGTTATCACATTTTTGTATATCTTTATATTTAATTTATATAAATTGGTTAAAACTTTATTTAAAAAAAAGTTTCTTATATTGTTTGCATGTTACTAATCAGCATTATTATACTTATTATATTATATTATTGTTTCCATCATGTTTTAATAATTGTTCCATTTTGACTCAGTAAATGCCTGCTCATTGTAGATAAATGACTGACAACAGTCTTCAATAGTCTGAGCCGTTTGAGTACCTAATTTGTATACTAATCACATGTAACTGTTTTCAGCTTGATTTTCATGTCTCATACCACTCCACCGGGGCGAAGCTATGTCACAAGTTATTCCCCATTGCTAAGACGTGCACCACTGTACATGCATTTCTATGGGCTCTGAGTGCGCTTCTGTGAAATGCCAGTTGAGCCAGTGAAAATTCGCGAAAACAACACAAAATCAACTTTTTTAGTAATCCTGAACAATCAAATTTACATATGTTACACACGTAGGGCTAATCTTGTTACACTGTTCAGGGGAGTCTCAACAACCATCCCAAAGTACGGTTTTCTGCGAGTTTTCGGCCTTTGTTTTCACCTCGAAATGTTATTAAAGTTTTCTTGGATCTGAAACAAATCTTTGTTGGGAGGGTCCTTATTATGATAGTTTTGAATTATTCAGCTGCAGTTATTTTGCATATTTTGCATTTGATTAAATGTCAATATAGTGAAATTTCAATATAGTGACTGAATGACCTTTGCTGACCACACAACATAACAGAGAATAGCACTGAAGGATTCAGATATCTAGCTATCTAAGTAATGCTAAACATCTGACTTTTATCTGAAACTTGATATCTATTCAAGAATCTGCTGACCCCAAATTCTAACCAATTAAATAACGCATTGCTGCTGTAAATGATTTGCCGACTCTGGAGTTGGAAAACATCCCATTCCTGTTATTGGCCAACAGAAAATGTACTCCTTTTTTAAAGCATTTTTTCCATAAGTATATGAATAACAAAATCTCTAGAAATTTTTTTTTTTTTTTATGCCATTCGCATAAATATTTGTCTTAAATCTTTGAGCGCCAAATCAAGATTTGTCACTATTCTCACAGCGCAAAGAATTTTTTCCATATTTTTTTAAAAAATGTTGATTAAGATCAGTAGCCAATAGGAAATTATTTCCATTTGGTTCAAAATAATAGAAATAGTTATCAAAAAATTCATAAAAATAGATAAAATGTTACACAAAAATATGAGTACGAGTTATTGTGGTGCTCAAAAGCTTAATATATTATTCATATTTTTTAATCCATACAATATTAAGTCAAAATGGTCAGAACCAAATGGCGATAAGTCATGCAACATGAAATATGTTATAATGTATCATAATAGCATGCAAGTACTTAATTAATTTTCATTTAACATCCTGTTTTAGGGTTTTTTGTATGGAGTTTTGTCTCACTGATCCTTAATAAGTTTGTGGGGATAGCCACAATCTAATTGGGAACGTTTGCCGTCGATTCAGGAATATCACTCAGTCACGAGAATTAGTTAACCATTCTGTAATGTATCCACACAAGAAACACAAGATCAAGGCAGTAACAGGTTTATTTTGGTTACGGTGCTTATAACATGGCGGGCATCTCAAGGTGCAGACGACACTCGTTAAGGGGCGTCTCAAATGACTTACTATGATAAGGTCAAGGGTCATCTCACAAGTACAATGAAAAGTGAATATACTACACATTCGATAGTTTTATTTCGGACTCACTAAAAGATAACAAGATGGTGGAGCAACAGCAAAGTGACAGATTGTAACAATAACAACATTTGAGCGGTAAATTAGCAATTGGCTGAACGCTATAACATTGTAGCTAAATGTAACAATGATGTAATCGTAAAGTTCTAACATAAGCTAAAACATGTGTGGGTTCCAACGATAAAGTTGAATGTAAAATATAGGAAAAAAAGTACCGGTATATTTTCATTTTTACATATTTCACCTACCGGTAATCAACCATTCCCTGAAAATGAAGTATTTCACAGTATGTGAATTATGGAGCATAAAGAGTTATGGCTACGTACGTGCTATTGGCATTTGCACGTCATAACCATCGTACCATTTCAGTCCATGTGTGTTCATTTAGACTCAGTATATTACAATGATTAAAAAATAGGGGGGGAAAAATGAATTTAAAATTTTGTAATCTAACTGCAAGAAATGAACTACATTTAATAATGATTTGTTTATTTTAGTGGTTCACACCAGCACAGCTGGGTACGTACTGGAGTTTATTATCTACAAGTACAAATGTAGCTGGAGTACTCAGTCCTGTTGTATCTACTATAATTGCAGCTTTCTATGATTGGAGATTATGTTTACAAATACAAGGTAGGTTTGATATTAATCTTTGCTTGGTGTAATGATTTGAGGCTATGACGTTTAGTTTAGTTATTTGCTTAGTAATATTGATACATTGTCTGGAACATCTCGTGAGTATTTAGACTCAGTTCTAGGCCAAGCAGTTGAGCAATAAACACCTTGGCTACAAGTGCTTCTCTCCAGTGCGTTATTCTCCTCCCGCATTTGGTGACCAATACTCACTTGGTTCACTCTACCTTGAGAAGTCTGTTCTCAGTTTACACTATTAAAATTATATCCATTTGTTGTTATGGTATTTTATTACAAATCATCGTGCACACGAACGGCAAAAACCAATTATTTTTTCACATCAATGTAGCATTGCATTAAAATACTGGTTGCAGAAGCATATAACTATGCGTCGCTGACGATGGTTTGCATTCATTTCATTCATTACTACAGCATCCGACCATATATTATATATCTGCATTTCCCTTCATCATCATGTCATACTAGTATAAATCAGCTCATGCTCTCTTAAATTTACCACCGAGGGTGTGATTTCGGCTCGTGTCGAGCGTTCAGACAGAAAATCTCGGCGCGTGCAGAGTTTCGGTCCCAAGCATCTATCGAGACAGAGATCACGTTTTTTTCTGCACGTGCTGACTCAGTTCACACACAAGCTTAGGCACATGCCAGCTCGGCCCGAGTCTTGGCACGTGCCATCTCTAACGTGAACACCACTTCTGTCTTAAAGTAAATATAGAAAACAAACAGATAACAAGAAGTGGTTGACAAGAGTTTGTTCACAAGAAACTTTTTTCTCTGTCCTGGAATCGATCTGAATGTTTTCAAAGAAATTGTGACCAATGTTAAAGTTATCATATTGTGGTAAATGGACAGGTGTTCAATCTCCTAACTGGGAAATGTATTTTCTGTATCTCTAGGTATTGACTGAATGCTGATTAGAAACAATATGATTGCCTTTGTTCCAGGTTCATTGCGTAGTCAGAATGGGGGTTTAATTATTTGCTGGGTTTTATTTTTAATTCTTTCACTAATAGCTAAATGCGCTGAATTAAAACCCAGTATCTAATATACCGGTAATAATAATAATAATTTATTGACCTAGAAAATATTTCATACAGTACACAAAATTGTCCATGCAGTCTAGGTAAAATGGAATCTGAAATAGTTTAAAAGCTAGTCAAGTCAGATCCCTGACATGACATGAATTTTTAATTTCTTAAGTTAAGACTGACAGTAGATCACATCAAAATATGCAAAGTAAACAATTGTATCCATCACAATCCAGTGAATTTAAAACCCAGTGAATACTTCAAATCTGCTAAAATTAAACCCAGTGAATATTTTCCCCTGCTAAAGTAGACAAAATACCATACCAGCATATGCTGTATATTAAAGCATGTGGAAATAAAATTAGATGCAAATCAGTAAAATAAATAAACTATATTTTCAAAATAAGGTCAATGTGCGTAATTTCAGTTGTGAATATTTTATGAATTATGTATTTCACATTTGTATATTGTTGTTTTATTTGTTGGTTGCTTTCATTATTTATTTTAAACAGTTTATTGTATAAAATAATATAATTGAAGCATGCTTAGAAAATGTACAAATAAATGAATGTTTCATTGCACTAATGCAACACTAGAAATAGTGAAGCAATATGGTCTCTATACGTTAGCTTCATTGATATTAACAATTTGTTATTGGAACATAATTAATTGATAATTTAAAAAAAAACAGTGTTATATGACAAATTCATGTGTGCACATTAACTCGTTCTGAAATATGATTAAATTTTTTTAACTTGGCTTCAATATACCACCACTTCAGTGGTAATGGTTTTAATATGTCCACGAAATGAATGTGTGTGCATGATTATGTTGACATGTTAAAGCGCCCTCAATCATCACTTTTAAGAGATTTTTCTTGTACTTCGTTTGGCATTGTAATCAATTCTAGATAAAATGTTTGAAACGGCATCTCACATCTAGAGGTCATGTAATTCCCATCATGCATCATTAAAACTGTTCAATCCGTATTAAATTTGTCATTTATTGAAAAAAAAACATTTACACTATTAACATGATGTTAAAATTCATTTCAGGTGCCTTGGCAGTAATTCTGTCATTTTTGTGTTTCTTTATGATCACAAATTCACCTAATGATGTGGGGTTGGAAAATGTGATAACAGACACAGGTGATAAAGTGAAGTCAGAGAAAGGTAAGAAAACGTGTCCAGATTACCAAAAAAAGTTTTGTTAAATTGCCTCGTACATAAATGTCTTTCAAGATTGTTGGTAATAACCTTTCCTTTGATGTACTAGGGAGAGTTAATTTCACTTGTGTGTGAGGGGGGGTCTGGTCACAAAGGTTTAATTCAGAAATGTATGCAACATAAGAGACAATAATACTTGGTAAAACGTAAAATATGGCTCACAGACAGAAATGTGTTTGTAAAGACAACACACTATGACTGTCTGCCGCATGTTAAGGTGACATGCAAATGCAACTTTAACATTTGCATATTTGAACATATTCTTCTTGTTAAACATTCACACTCCCTGTAAATGAAGGTCTGCAAGTATGAAATAACTTATGATAATAATTACATAAATATCATTTCGGTGTTTTTTGGTATCTTCACATTATACATTGCTTGTTTCTGCAGGCAAAGAGAAAGGTACTGATACAATGTCTGATCTACTAGCAAGTCCATTCATGTGGGTGATTTCTATACTCTTTGCATTGGTATTTGGTGTTACTACTGGGTGTACAGACTGGTCGTCACTCTATCTTATACAAGAAAAACGCATGACAGCGGAATTAGGTAAAAATCAATAGTAATTGTTCTCATTTGTGTGTGTTTTGAATGCATTTAAATTTTGTGAAAATACATGTAAACAACAAATTGGCTAAACAGTATTTGTAGTATTAAAGTAAACAGGCTTTAAAAAGTGACATAGGTGAGTATGAACTTATCAATAGTCTAGCATACAAAAAAGTTCTATTATGGGATAGATTTTGTTTGTAGCTTATAAATTCGTATGTGCCATACGCAACCATTATAGTATTCACCAGAAGTTGTTTGCAAATAGCTGAACATGAACTTGAGGTTTTGGCTTCTTAGGGCATACATCCAATTGCCCGCAGGAGTTTTCCACTGATGTTTCAAATACAACCTTTGAAATACCGGTAAATACAAAAAATGTGAAGGGTTCCCCTTACAATATTCACAATAGAGCTGTGAGTCACTTTTTTCGGTATCTGTGCATTTTAGACATGCACTTTCTACATTTAATTTGTTGGCATTGCGTCTAAGTGAATCTTCAAACGTAGATGTTTTTATATTTTGTAGGCTAGTTTTGTTGGGTATGTTCAAAAGCAGGATTCAAAACAATTTTGCATGATAGAATTTTTGGTTGTCAAGGTATCAAGAATTAGTCATTCAGTGAAGAAGTTTTGACATGCATAACTTGCAAACACCTTGACTGCTGATTAAAGTTCATGGCTCATTTTACTGTATTAGTCAAATATGTTTAGCAGATAATAAACATAAAAATATGTATTAAATGTATTAAGCAAAATGGAAAGTTGTCCAAATCATATATGATACTACCTATAATTTCATTCAGTATTAATTCAAGGTGTTTTGTACCAAGTAAATTTAAATTTGTGGTAAATGATTTATATTACTACTAGTTCAATTTGGATCACATTTCTGTATGGTTTATCTGTTTCTTAGATGTAACAGCCTGTCATAAGCTGGGCCGATGTCACCATTGTAATTTACCTGTGGTGGTGCTCACCTAATTCCCATGTGATCATATTCTCCTCTTATAGCCAGTGGTTTTGCCAGTGCATTACAGATTGGTGCCGTAATAGGCAGCATTGCAGCTGGCTACCTCACGGATATACAAATGGCAAAGGTGGGGATTTTATAAAATTAAATGGTAATGGTCACTTTGCAGCACACACCCAATTTGTGTATTATGTGTTGTATCAGAGGTACATTACTTGGTATTTGCAACGCGCATAGTACTGTATGGTGACATCATGCCAAGATCCCATTCAAGTCTCATCTCGTAGATAGCGAGACAGATGCTACGACCTTCTGACATGACATATATCAATGTTCAAGGTTTGGAATGAAAAAAAAAAACATGTCTTGCCACTATCATAGTGAATAAATTTAATACATGTACATCGAAAATGTACAGAAAATATAGTTCTCATAATCTGTCATATCGTGATCAGCTATTTTGATCCACCTGCATTCGAATTTTTCTGAGTTGGAACACGAGAGCGAGATTGAAACGGGATCTTGGCATCATGTCACCGTAGTTGCAACCCCCAAGTAATGTACCTCTGGTTGTATATATCACATGGTACCCATATCAAATATGACACAGTATGGCAACTGACACTTTAAAGGGCAGCAAGTTTTTAGCCAGCCACCTGTCATTTTAGACAGGCTCTCCATATTTTAGATAAATTTACAAAATTTCATTTGACAGAAAAAATCTTTACAATGAAAATTACCTGTTAATGACAAAATAATTAACCATAGATAATCAACAACAACAACAACAACAACAAAAAGACTACATCTTTGGCTACAGACTGGCTAGCAGCTGCTATTTTAATTAAGTTTTAGACAGGCATTTTCAAATTTTTGGCTATAACCTTATACGGCCATAGCCACATGACATGTTCAATATGCGTCTCATGTGTTGCTTGTAACATACAATGTTTGTTTACCGGGGATGTGAAATTTAAATGTGTGCTGCACAACAACTGCTCTTGTGGTGAAATAAACGCAATAGAATTGGTGAGTGTAGCTTTCTAAATGTATGTCCAGGTTATAAGCCATGGGTTACATACTCTAAATGATTTGATGAGGAAAACCTGGTAGCAATCTGGTGTACCGGTATACATATTAATAACCTACCCACGACCTTAAGGGCAGGGGGTAATTATTCTCTGTGTCGGTGATCGCAGAACTGTGGCTGTTTAGGTATATGTAGAAACAGTTGTGTGTAGAAACACTATTGGATACCGTAAAAATTTGGTGATGTCAGATTCCTGCTGATATAGTTATATATGTATGTCATCAATTAGAAAATGAAAGGTTTCTAATTTCTTTGTCTCCACAAGTCTGATTTTACTTTCATTCTTTTTTTTGCCAGCATGGTATTCAGTCTCATGGAAGCGCTCGTTATCCACTGCTGACATCGTTTATGTTGTTATTAACAATCTCATTACATTTATTGGTGTATTGGACAGACGAACATTCCCCACAGGTACGGAATTAACATGTGCCTTGTATTTCCACCAAGCCAGCTGTTGTTTTTTTCATTTCAGCATTTACTCAAAAAACCTACATAATTAGTATGCAAAAGTACAATGGTAATTATTTTACTCAAGTAGATATGCACTTTTGGCGTATATATGCATATTGTAAAATACTTTATTTTAGCTAGAACTAATTTTTGCTGAAAAATTTTTTTTGGATGTTTCGAATAGAATTTATTTTCACTGATTTTTCACTGACGAGTTTAATGTAAAATGTAGGGAAAAAAGTGAAAATTAGTTCCAAGCGAAAATAAAGTATTTTACAGTAGTAAATTGGTAGTTTATGAACATCTCTTCACATCTTTGTTGTGTTCTTTCTAAGGGTGTGTGGAAACTGGACAAGCTGACAGGCTCTTTAGCATTGTGGGGTGCCCTCTGGCTGGTGGTTTGAGTAATCTTTTGTTTAATTCTAAGACCTATTTTTTTTCATGGAGGTTAATGTGTTTCTGATATTTTAGTACATCTCTTAGTACAACAAGTACTGGTATCTTTACTATTATTCATAATAAACATGCATCCCTTTACATACATTGTAAACCACCAGTGGTCTCACAATAAAAATATATGGCAAAAAATGTCTTAAACATTCTATTTTCACAATTGTTTAGATTCTTGTTCAAAAAAAAAACAAATTTTACAGTTAATTTTGATATTTAACTTTACTGTATTAGAATCATGCAATTCAACATACAATACGAATTTACATTACATTCAATTACCATCAATATTTCCTGTTACTTTTTTTCATCTTTTGCATTCAAAATGAATATTATTTGCTCTTCCAGTATTGGCTTCTGTTCATTGGTTTTATAATTGGTAATTGTACTTTTGGATCAGTATCATTATTTGGTGTCTTGGCCATTGAGCACTCTCCTACCCATCTATCTGGCTCAGCACATGCTATCGCTGCATTGGGAGCTAATGGTAAGTGTCATGACTATATTACCTTCAGTTAAGGAGTCTCATTGTACTCTCTAACTGTGTGATATATCTAAATGATAAATCGGCAAATAGTGAGTATGACTATATTGCATTCAGTTAAGGAGTCTCATTGTGTAACACTAGTCAGTACTCCCTAACTGTGATAAATCCTTCTGTCACATCAGCTAATAGTGAGGACTATATTGCATTCAGTTACAGCCAAAGTCAGCTTGGACGTTCAGTTGTGAGACGTGACAAAATAAACGGTGCCAGCGATAGATTTTGAGTATGAAAGAACAAAATAAACTCAATCAAAGGCGCCGACCACGCACTTTGGAAATAAATAGAACACGTTGCGTCGAGAAATCTCACCTGCATCTTTCACTCGCGCAAATGCACACACATGCTATTTCCGTATATTGAATACATTGGCAACAGAAGGGACAAGTTTAAATCATCTTTGTATTAAGGTGTAGATGCAGGTTAGTGGGCGCTAGAGTGACATTTTTTTTTTCTTTTTGCTTTTCTCACCTAGACAGTCTTGGCTAGATAGTGTTACAATTTTGGAGCATTGTCAATGCTGGAACATGCCCAGAAATGGATTTTAAAATATAGGGAATCGAGGCACGCGTATGTGATTAAAAGTCCCGAAAGTTTGTTTACGTTGTTCTTTGATTGACAAGTCACTGTTGATGTTATATGCAAATGAGTTGCTGGCCTCAGTTACGGTGCGGCGATGTGTAACTTCCTGTCCGCGACCCTGTTTAACTTACCTCAAGCGCTATCAACTAGTCTCGCAAACTACAAAAAAAAAAGACAAGACGTAGACGCTTCCAGCATGCAAGCGGAATACAAAAAACATCCAGTTGTAAATGATAAGTAAACTTTTTCACCCTTATCTCGCAACATGTCGACAACTTCTAGCCTGGCAGCTTCCAGTGAAGTACTATTAAATATTTTGTTTTCACGCATTTTTTTTCTCTGAAGGCATTATAAAACTGACTAATTATACATTTGTTGTTTCACTGTAGTGATCACCATGCTGATAGCATTGCGATGTAGTGGATAAACACCATTCAGACCATTGCTGTGCTGTCATCGATAACTAACTTTTCAGTGGCAAAATACATAAACGTGAAATGCTCGGTTAATTAAAAATGAAAAATACCCCGAAAATTACAGAAACATCGGCAACAAGATGCTGTTTTTAAACAACGCGGAAAAATCACCACTCTGCGATGCCATCTTGGTTACCTTAATCGGAAACCCCCTTGTCAGCTAGCATGCATCTGTAGCGTTGACGCAAAGTACGTTGTACGACCGTGCTCGGCGACCTCTGGTACTATGGCACTCTATGAATGAGGTATTTCCATAGATCAGGGTTCTTTTAAATTTTTATCGACCCGTCTCGCCTGCTCGTAGTTGAATGAAACCAGTTTCGATTTACAATAGTTGTTTTCCATTTCGACTTTTTCTCACTGGCGTTTGAGTGATTGAGTACAAAAACTGCGAATAAAATATTACGGCCCATTTAAACTTGGCTGTCTAACTTTGCACGGTCCATTTCACCGTAGATCGTGAAAAACTGCGTCATACAGAGTATTTTTTAAAGGTTTGAGGAAAGGTAAATTTAGACTCAACCCACCCAATGGCGATCGCTATGTTTATATAACTGTATGAATATCTCATCGGCTTTACGTAATTCATTGTGCCCCTCCCTAAGTGGAAAAGATAAGACGACACCATGACAGTTTTTATGCAAGGTTTTGACTCCGCGGACGGTTTTACGTCCGTTTCCCTCGTATTGTAAATATTTGTATTTTATTTTTTTATCTGACGATTGAACATCAGCAAGCGTCGGTGTATGATGGGTTTTGGCATGTCGTCGTGATGCAATAGCCATTTTTATAGACGATTAACGTCACTTTCATAAACAGCCATTATCTCTGTTCGTGTTTTCTGGTTGGTCAGAGAGATTGAAAATTAATTAGCTACCACAGTTTTTGTCGGTTTGTCTTGACATTTTCACACTATTTTGACAACGTCTCTACGAACAAAAGGACGTCTGGGCTTATTTTTAAAGCTTTGCATTCTCGGACATTGACATTCGAAGTGTGAAATACTTACCGGGATTGAATATATGGCACACATCCTGCTTGACAACTTTGTAATATGAAAACAAAACATACTATTTATATGCCTGGACGCCCATTTGTTAATAAACAACTGATACACGTTGTGTGAAAGTTTCACTCAAAATAAACAAGAATTGTGCGAGCTATTTAGATTTGAACTTTCATGGTAAACTGAAAAACACAAGTGGAGATAATGGTAATTTGCATAACCATTCACTCAGTAAGAAGTTTACTCATGCTCATAATTAAAATGGCTGTAACAGTTCCAAATTTGAACCTATTATCTTTTTGTAAAACGTTAAATATAGTGCATAATATGGAGATCCAGTCATTACTTTTTTTTCAACATGTTTCTTTTGTATTATTCATGTACAGCCTTGCTGAATCTTGCTAAGCATTCAGAAGAGAGAATGTTTGCACCTCTTTTCTATATTTTAAAATTGTCTTTTGAGTATGTTCCACTATTCATAATGCTGTGAAATTTTAACAGTCTATAGCCAAACTGTTCGGATAATAAAAAGCAAAAAAAAAGAAACTTCACTCCCAAGTGCCCACGAACCTGCATCTATACCTTAACACAACTTGAAAGCAACAGTCTCACACTGAATATATGTTTATAAATTATCAAACTAAACATTCAATGAAGCGGACTGCGACGGTTAAGACGAAAAGACAAGGCTAAGACGAAAAACATGTGACAGTACGATTATGCTAGTCTACTACACGCCCGGGGACTACACGTTCAAGTATCCAACTTCCCAATACAAAACATGTTTAGTATCAGCAATAATTTCTAGTACTGGCTGGATAATTGCGTATTATTAGTTGACATCAGACATATAACTGTACAGGGTTTTTTTAACGATGTCTCAAATTTTCGAAAGAATATTCAAATAAGTTGGGATGAATATGAATTGAATGTCCATCTTTTGAAAAATCAGCTAAACAGTTCACCACCACGATTATGGTGAATTGGCGAGTTATCAACGAAGACGACCGGATGGGTGGTTCAAATTTATCTACTTTTACAGTGATGAATATTGCGTTCGAGTTGAGTTACTAGTAATTACAAGCCTGATTTACATTTTTCTTGTAGTGTTTTTCGTCAATGTATTAAATATAAGTGCATTGGGAAATGGCATAATTATATTGCGTCAGTGAAAGAGGCTGGTGAGACTGTGTTACAACGCGTTCTATTTATTACCAAAGTGCGTGGTCGGCGCCTCTGATTGCGTTTATTTTGTATTTTAATTTTCAAAATGTATCACTGGCTGCGATTTTTTGTTATGTCTCACAACTGAACGTTCAACCTGACCTTGTTTTGGCTGTAAGGAGTCTCATTGTGTAACATTAGTCAGTACTCCCTAACTGCATGATCAGTCATACTGGCATGCAATTGATGCATTGAAAAATAGCAGAATAATGGTATAATTTTATTGATTCATATTTTATATAAAAGTATATCTGATGAAGTAATTAATTTAATTCTGTGCTGTATGCCACTTTATCTGTAGTGGGTGGAGTTTTAGCTGGATTACCTCTAAGTTATGTTGCTAATGACTACGGCTGGTCTGGTGCATTCCTCATCATGGAAATAACATCAGCAATATGTTTATTAATATTGGTGCTGACATGGAGTATGCCAAGCAAGATTGGAAAAAGACTGAAGAAAGAATAAAACTAGATAATAACATGCAATTCACACATAAACTGAGATTTTAGAAGTATCCTTTCAGACGTTTTGCTTGCTTAAACTGAATAGTGTGCAAAGTTAGTTGAAAGATTATGGCACTTTTGTTTGAGGATATTTTTTCCGCTTCAAGTTGGAAGCACAGATAAGCAGTCTGTCCTACCTTCTGGTTTGTTGACCTCAGGTCATGCAATATGTGCAAACACAAAAGCAATAAACACACAAACACTATCAATTCGTGAATCAGGACACTAATCACACCTGTGTGTGTCCACTATAAGATACTGTACCAAATTTTCGCACAATTTTTAATGATTTTAAGAAATTGATTTTAAATGATACATTATTATCGAATTGAAATCCTCAGACAATAGTAGCTATTTTTATTGTCAGGACTAATTACACATGGGTTGATTCCTTTACTGTGACAGTCTGTAGGTGCATCAAATTAATTCTAAAAGATGACAAATAATTTTTTTTTTTGAGAATAAGTAGTAACTTCACTATATTTTGATGATGATTGTTACATTTTAAAATAAATTTATTTCCTCGCATCAAGGAAATCATCACAATGAATTCTTTCCCTGTTCTATACATCCACTAATGTGATTGATCAATTCTTTACTATCATAGTTCTATTTATCCACCATTGTGATTGGTCAATTCTTTACCAGCTTGATTCATTCACTATTGTGATTGGTCAAGAGGGTTTCAACTAACCATCAATCCATTCATTTCTTCTTGATAACTGTGGTACTGAATTATTTTTAATAAAATAAACTGAATTATTTTTAATAAAATAAAGTATTTTTATCCCTTTTTAAATAAGAAATATATTTAGTGTTTTTTTTTTAATTATTTATTATTGAAAATACACTTCCTCATGTCTCTCTATGAAGCTCAATTTTATGAATTATATTACCGGTATTATTTCTGAAATTTTTGACTTATTTTTCAGTATGTAGTCGATGTATCTGGCGCAAACAATTCAAGGTGACCACAGTCTAAAAGAGTCAAGGAAATATTACTTATTTTTCTATGAAATTTGAAATTTAGTGCAGTCTATTCTACGAATTGACTTTCAGAACATTAAATGGTTATATTCTTGTAAGTTCCATTTTGTTGTGTGCTATAGCTAGGGTGAGCATTTATTTTTAGTTTTCCTCTTCACTCAGGATTGATTGTGCCTTGAGCAGCTCAGGTTAATTATTTGCTTCCTAGGTAGTTGAGGATGGTTTATAAATGATTCATATGACCCAGTGAGTAATGAGCAGTTTGCTGATGTATCGTGCATTATAAATACCTACGCATTGTGATAATTGTACATACTACTTTCAGGTTTCTTGTATTTATTTCATTTGCTCATTTTGGTACAAAAATGAAGATTTAATTATCCTCTGAAATATTGTAACGTGAATTTACATTGCCACTCTACATACTGTATTTGTTTTATATACAAGTACATTGCACAGAAAAAAAAATCGCATACAATGTCTATTGGATAAAAAGAAATGTGCCTTATCTTTAATATAGACATACTAATAGGAAAAATATGGTATTAATGTTATCAATTGGTGGTCTTGGAGTGAAAAGTAACAATTAACTTTTTAAGAGAGGTGACCATCTCTGAGAAAAATTGTTAAAAAGCCAATAACATACGTTTAATATATACCGTATATCTGAGTTTATATTCAATTGTCTGAATGTTAAGCTCCATGCTTCACTCACTAAAAACAAGACTGCCATTGTTGCACAACTCATCGCAGTTTGGCTATTTATATTAAATATATTTTTGTTGAAGAGGCAAAGAGAATAACATGGAATATAGTATGTCTTGGTTGTATGGCTTAAGTCTTCAAATTACCTGCATATTAATTTTATGATAAATTATATCATACTATTCCTACTAAGATACAAATGTTTTCTATTTACTGGTAATAAGATCATTTGACATTTCAAATAAAATAAACTCAACTTTGCGGGGTTGGGGTGAGTCAACTAAGTGTGTGCTTGCATCACAGAATGAGTTTATACAAATAAACTGCAGTGGATCTGTAATATTGTGGACTAAATAATCCTGAGTTAATTACATGTATTGGCCTAGTCTGTGATCATTTCTAAAGTTTTAATGAGGGCCTTAGTAATATTGGAATATTTGTTTGTATTTTGGGGAAATATTCAAAAATTTACACTGTGTTGGCCAAATTATTTGGTATTTCCATGCTTAAAGGGAAAGTCAAGGCTAACAACATAATACTCCCCGATGAAAGAGCTCGGCAAATGTAAGAACATGCAATTTACTGTAAATTGCATTCTCCTACATTTGTGGAGCTTTTTCTTGGGGATCATTATGTTGATTGGCTTGACCTCCCATTAATAATGTGCTATACAAGTTTGGTCTGCATTAAATATAATCTCACATTTATTTGTTTTACAGTAAACTAATTTACATCAGATAATTCCTTTATGAAATGTACATGCTGTACTGGGCATGAGCACCAATAAACTTATGAAGAAACTTTATATTTAATTTAAAAACTTTTTAAATATGATAATTTTTAATTAACACCTTTCTCTTCCAAATCAGTATTGACTGAAATATGATTTAATTGTTCTACATGTAATTATTTTTTCATGGGATTGTTAATTTTTTGAGGTGGTTGGTTCATCATTGATGTATTTATAATTTATCAAAAGGTGCAGTGATTCATTAAAAACTTTATTATTATTATAAATAATTGTTTAAACTTTTTGGTTTTGTGTTGCCTTTAACAGATTGTGAGTAGTCTTGTGAGTGTTATTGTAGATTTGATTCTGTAATGTGCAGATAGACACACACAGAAACACGCATGTATGTCATTCACTGCGTTCTTTTATTCCAAGTTCATACTATGGTTAAGATAACATAAAACAAAAACAAAAAACCTGTGTAGACAAAATATGTAAGCACATTAATAAATACATTTGACTCGGTGAAGTGTCAATATTATACGATTAGTTATTGCAATAAATTTCAATAGACTGTCTACCTCAGGGTCTACATGTACATTTTGATATCAGGGAGATATAAATACATATTTGTCAGAAAAACAGAAAGTTTATGCTGCTGGCAAACATGATAAATAAAAATATAAGAAATATAACGACAATAAATCTCAGAAATACAATATATAGAAATATACAAAATAGCTCACCCTGACTAGAACAACTCTAAATTGAGTGAAATACAATACTCCTCAGCTTCAGGTCGCCATTCACACAGCTAGAGCGCTATATGTCAAATACATGCAATTACACACATTTTATTAGATTATCAAGAACAAGTCATTGTCAATGACACGTCCCTGTTCTGTTCATATTTGAGTGACATATACATTCAAAGCAGACCATGACCGAAATGCACCTGCATATGTACAACACATTGTACTAAATCTGAACAAAATCCATCCATGCATGACTGAGATCCGGTTCCGGAATTGTGAAAATACGTGATTTTGGTGCATTTTCGGCCTTAAAATGGCCATCATTCAGCTACTGTTAAGCAGATCATGAAACAAATGCACATATCTATTTGTGACATGATGTACCTTGTGTGTGTGAAGTTTGAACTCAATCAATCCAAGCATGTCTCAGATAAATGGCCGCCAGTCGGCCATTTCAAACCCGATCCCCCAAAAAAAAGACGTGCATCAAGGTTCTATTATGTTTAATGTATGTACCAAATTTGAACAAAATCCGTCCATGCATAACTGAGATCCGGGTCCGGAATGGTGAAAATGTGCGATTTTGATGCATTTTCGGCCTTAAAATGGCCGCTATTCGGCTATCGTTAATCGGATCATGAAAAAAATGCATGTGCATATGTCCCATATAATGTGTGATGTATGAGTGATGTTTGAACTTAATCGGTCTATGCATATTCGAGATACAGGTGATCATGGACGCACGCACGCACACAGGGCAAAACATAAGTCCCCGTTTTCGGACTACGTCCGAACGGGGACTAAAAATGTGCTTGACTGACAATAAACTCATAAAAATGGGCATAGAATATATATCAAGAACTTTAGCAATGATATCCGAAGGGGATGTGACATTTAATATAAAGTAGAAGTACAATTCAGAAATGTCATAGACGATGTGTATTGTCATATGCATAAAGTTCAACACAAAATATAAAAATTTCGAAAATATTTTAAATAACAACTTCAGTAACCTCAATTACAAAGATTAAACTTACCAGAAAAACATCAAATGGGTTTCAAGCTTCGAGTGACTGATAAAGATTACAAACTGGATGAAATTGCAGACAGCAAAAGAAATGTGTTTGTAAACAGAAGTTTACAAGATGGAGTCAAAAGAAGAGTTTTCTTAAAATTACAAAATACATTGAAATAATACATTACATATCCTCTACAGAAATTAATAATAAAAATAAAGAATTTACAATGCATCTCAAAGGTAGAAATATGAATATTTGAAGAAAATATAAATAAGACTCAAGGGTGAACAGCGCCCTCACACACTCAACAAGGGTAAACAGCACTCTCACAATTCCATCACAACTCATTGTTGGGGGGGGGGGGTGTTAACTGAGACTGGTCCAATGATTTTTACATTTCAATCAAATGCAGCAAACTGGAAAAAATATATTATTATTTAAAAAGTACGAAGTTTCTTTGTAAATCAAAACATATATGAACCATCAAACGTGAAATCTTTACCCACTTGGTGATTATTATGTGTCAGTGTTCAAGCAGACTGAAATCAGTCGTTACGCCCTCCAGTGTCTTGATTTATTCTGCAGGTATCGGTAAAATGTAGATAGGGCTTTGGCGAAATTTGAAGAAGCAACTAATATTCTTCAACCTGGTATTTTTTTTATATTTTATTTTTCATTCTTTTCGTCTGTTTTTTCGAGTTTAAAAAATGTGAGCTGGCTGGAGCCTTCATCCCTTGTCTATTTCGTACACTAGATAACAGCCGATACCCCCCCCCGCTCATAGGGAGTGCATACAGTTGATCTTAGTTCCTGGGCTCCCTGTGGATGAATATGAATTGAATGTCCATCTTTTGGAAAATTAGCTAAACAGTTCACCACCACGATTATGGTGAATTGGCGACCTTGTTATCAACGAAGGCGACCGGACGTCTCCGGCCATGAGCTAGCTGGTTCGAATTTATCCACTTTTACAGTGATGAATATCTCGTTCGAGTTGAGTTACTAGTAATTACAAGCCTGATTTACCTGACCTGTTTTTCGTCAATGTATTAAATATAAGTGCGTTGGGAAATAGCATAATTATATTGCGCGAGTGAAAGAGGCTGGTGAGACTGTGTCACAACGCGTTCTATTTATTTCCTACGCACGTGGTCGGCGCCTCTGATTGCGTTTATTTTGTATTTTTGTTTTCAAAATGTATCATTGGCTGCGTTTTTTTTTTTTTTTTTTTTTTTGTTATGTCTCGCAACTGAACGTCTAAGCTGACTTTGTTTTGGCTGTATATTGCTTTCATTATTATTACATGTCATTTCGCTATACAAATGTTGTTAATTCGTTTACCTTTCGCATTAAGGATTCCTCTGAGTAATTCTCGACCAATTAAATCAATTAATTTCTTAATAATCTTAAGCCCGGTTACCTATGATCTGACCGAGATACAATATGGCGTTAAACAATTTACTCATCGAAAAAAAATTATTCCAATCCGATTGAGGAGATACCAAAACAGTGCTGTTCAGGATGCACTCGGCCACGTCCTTGCTTGAAGGAACGGCAAATATATGGCACTTTGCCTGACCCTCACGAATTAGTTGCAACCTAAAGCTTCGTGTGTGCATTTACCGATTTTAGCCCGGATTGTACGCTACCGTAAATTTGTCTCCGTCTATTGCAATAATGAGCTGCAGCTGTACTATAAAACCCGCCGCTATCTCGGTTGTTACAGTATTCATCTCTGATTCTTTTTTCGCGCGCGCCGTTGAACTAACACAGCGTCAATACCGGTTTTGATGTGTAACTCACGCACCAGGCAAATAGCGCCCTCATAACGACTACCAACGGTGTAGTTTGTAATGAAGGAAATCGTCTAAATTAATACGCTCTCTATATCTACTGCGAAATGTTTCAAAATCGATAGATGTATGTAATTTTGGCCTAAGTGGTTGACAAGAAAGTCAATCACATGTCAATACCGGTTTTGATGTGTAACTCACGCACCAGGAAAATAGCGCCCTCATGACGATTACCAACGGTATAGTTTGTAAGGAAGTTTGTATATTTACTGCGAAATGTTTCAAAATCGATAGATGTATGTAATTTTTCACCTGTCGGTAAAGATTAGCGTGCGAAAGGGAATAATGTCAAATCTCTCCATAGTCCCTCGATATGATTGAAAGATTGTGATTAAACCATTGACATAGACAGCATATGGTGAAACACGCACGTTGTTTCGATTTATCACTTTCACAGAGGCCACCATATTTTACACCAGTTTTCAGTTAGACTGTAATTCATTGGGTGTCGATTACTCTTCCGTTCAGACTCAGATGCAGTTGGAGTTGGGGACAGTTAAACGTTGTCTTCTGTACCCTATATTGTTTAATGTATTCAGTTTGTCTCAAGGGCGGATTGTTTTATGGGGAAGAAATTCGGACGCTGCAATGCACCGGTCTTCATCGAAAGTGTTCGCAATTATGTCCCCCTTTTCCTAAACATTTTTTTGATGGTTTTATTTGCCAAAACATTATTTCTGGAACAATTTGACGACTCCGTTTTACGTGGAAAAGAAAAAGAAGCCACGCCGTGGAAACCAGTATGGAATCTACGGGGAACTGAATTTACAATTTTATTTTTGACTAATGTGTTTAATGTTACTCTTGAAAGTTGGACAACTTTGTGTTGAGAAAATAAATGGAATGGAATGTGGGCGTTCCCGTGATGTAAACTATGCCACCAATAAAACGAGTCGGACAAGACATAATCAAGATAAAATGTGGTTTTATTACAATGTCTACTCGTACAAGTCGCCTCACATCTTAATCACGTATTTTCACACATCTGCAGCGGCCTCATGGAATGTTCAAACATCCCATGCTGGCTGGAACTCTACAGTTATCTTGAAAGGGCATGTAATGCTCATTTCGTAACACAATGACACCCAAGATAGATTATTTTCCTCAGGATTACCATAGCAACAACGTAAAGATAGAGGCACTGTAGCTTGTGCTATAAAACGTCCACTCAGCTAATCATGGTTACCATGGTAATTTCCACTCATGCGCATCATTTGGACGTTTTTGTTATTCACGTTTAGTATACAACAAGGTGACACTACAATTTTTTTAAGGAGATTGTTCCTCCACAATTCAATCGTTTCTTTTCTTGGATGATAAGGTACAAAATTGTTGTTGAGGCGACACGTGACTTCCGAATGTTCAAACTGAATCGCGATGGCAGGCATACAACCCTAGCCTCAACAACAACTTCGTGCCTACAACGCGCTTCAAGGTCACGTGACGGGTGGATTTCGTTTGTCATCGTTTATCTTCAGACAGCCGGCATGCCATCTTCATGTTGTCATGACGACATTGGTGTCAGATACTGGGTAAGTTGATAGTGACTCAGCACGAGGGTGGATGGAATTTATTTTTGTGTTTCTTTCCCTGTATTTCTTATGCCATGATTACCATAAACATCGAAGAGGCGATGAAAGCTAGACTGGCAGTTACGCGGCCTCCAGCATTGCTGTCGGGCTCGGGTGCTTCAGTTGCCTACGAATAGAAGAGAAGTAAACCCGATTAGCTACTAGTCCAAATAGGAAACAGAGTTGAAAATTATTCCGAATAGAAGGAGAGACCGCCATGGGCATTTAGCCAGCAAATGTTAAAACACTTGGGAGACGAAAATTCCATACAAATATTTAGAAATTCTTGTCAGCGCCCTATTTATGTCTACGTGGCGATAGAAAGATGGGGAGCTAATCGCCAATTACGCGGCCATGATAGTATCGACGACACTTCGTACATTTCATATGAATATTTGAATCGACTTCCGATCAAAATACAAACGTGTTGAAATTCCAAATTCGTCGCTATTCATTCACAATGATAAGACATAGCTTCTACACAATTCCATGAAATATGATAAAAGGATGACACTTGTTTATACTTATTTCATCCATCTACAAAAAAACGTTGATAATGATGCTCACACTGTCAAACCACCCTAGGCGTGTTCACTAAATATATGGTCAACGATTCTCACTCTTTCAAACTATCAATAATCAATAGTTGCACATTAGAAAATGACAAAACTTACTGGTGGTTCGGGAGCGGCGGATTTGGCGGATGGTTCGGGTTCAGGTGCTGATGTTCCAGCGGCTGGGGCATCAGTTCCTGCTGCAGGAGCTGGAGCATCGGTTCCTGCTGCTGGGGCGACTGTTGGCTCTGCCGCGGGTGCTTCTGTTACACAGAAAGCGATAGCTATCAAGGAAAGGAAGACAAACGCTAAAACTGCTGTTCTGGCCATGGTGACTACAATCAGATGTTTCTACGTTCCCAAATAGTTTGCAAGTAGAGAAGGGGCTGTCTCGCTGACGCTTTTATAGGTCGACAACACCCTGAGTGAGCGTGATAGTTTCCGATTACATTCTTGACATTGGTAGGGATTGACAAATGCCTAACAGTGTGGCATTTAATTGCTGATTTCTCTATCTACTTTTATAAAATAATGTTTCTGCCGAGAACAAATATGAAAGTTGAATTCAATTTTAAGTATTATTTAAAAGAGTCCTTTTTATCATCATAATGTTTCTGATCTCCATCGCATCAAACGCTTCGTCCCTTAACATATGAGGCGCTTGGTTCACGCCCATTTACATGTTTTTTCCCTTATTTGTCAGTTAAAATTGACGAATACGAAGTGTGTAAGGGGGGTAAGTATATGTTGCCTTGTTGGGGGGTCCTTAGACTGACAATTCTCCGTATTCATCTTTTGATTAATTCGTGTTGTAGACTTAGCTAATACAGTACATGTCTTAGCGATGTCTTCATTGGCACCTCGTTACGATACTCGTCGACACCCCCCACCACCACCACCACCACCACCACCACCACCAACCACCCCAGACAAGTGAAGAAATCGTAATCATTTGGACCGCCGGGCATGTGTATATATAATTATGTGTATTTCGTTTCCACTCCCTGGCACAAGTGACATCAACACGTCGACTCGAGTTTCAGGTTTCACCTAAATACCGGATTGAAAGTTCGAAAGTTGTACGTGCAGCTTGTCAGGGTCGGGTCGTCCATGGTTTATATATGTGCAATGGTTTGTATGGCTATTGACACTCTCACCTTTGATTATGATTTACTTTTTAATAATAAATTCAGCTTCATCACTAGTTCCAGCAAATGTACATTGCATTGGAGTGTGGGAAAATGTTCGGTTCGATTCATAAAATTACGTTAGCGACTTACAATTGCATTGACATTATTTTAAAGGCAAATGTCTCTGTTTTAAATTCTGAAATCTTATTTGAACTTTATTTAACCTTAAAATTGTATAGGCCTAATATTACCATACTTTTGTCTTCTTGGCAAAAAATCACAAAATAACGTTCTATATAAGAGATAAAATATATCAATTTAAGATAGCTGTCACGTGTCATTTTAACGAATTTGGCGCATGGTAAATCATTCAGTGACCCTACTTTTAATGGATCAACAATTTATATTTTTCCAATTATCTACATCTTAAACTCAAGATGTTAAAATCATCTAATAAACCCCTTCAGCCGAAAACAACGTGTTTTATATAAATAGTACGCTTATCCCCGCCAACAAATCGCTTAGACTTCTAAAACCAGACACGCCAGATCAGTTTCTTGATCGTATCAAGCTGTGAGATAAACATGGTAAATTATTATTGTATTTTAACACGCCGCTGGAATTCTAGGGTGTGATCGAGGTCATCTTCCCAGTCGTGTGCATATGTAGCACAGGAATCTTGGATGCTAACTAACAATTCGCTACTTAGGGACTGATCGTCAGAAAATTCAGTAGGGAAACTGGTATAATGTCCCCCCACGTGATAGAGCGACTGTGGTTTTGATGATATTTCAACACACTTTTCGGCTTTTTCTTATCAAAATGTATTTGTTTTTTGTACGATTTGCTTGTCATTTTCATCTCTCCAGACAGTTTCAATCAAAGTGTATAATGATCAATCCTTTTCGCGAGATGTTTCTAGAAACGAACAATAAATCTGTCATACTATGCTTTTTGAAAAACATTTCAATCATAGGTCCACGCACAATGTTTTCCACATGGGGGCTGAATAGGGGAATTCGACGTTTATTTTCTTGGCATTCTCAAATCCCCCACTCAAAAAAAACAATGACAATATTGCAATCCCCCAAGGATGGGCATAAACTGGCGCTGTTGCAACAATCCCTGACCTCAAACATGTGTGTATACGGGCACATACACGCTGTCCAAATCCCCACTATGGGACTCAATTTCCCATATTACCCACACTGCCCCAGTGAAAAAAGATTGTTAGGCGCATTCAAAGACTATGATTGATGTTGAAGTATCAACTCTCATGTTGATAAGCTATATGATCCAACGTACAGAATAGAAAGCTCTGGAGGGAAATTATCCCTCTAATATAAATACGTTGAACTCTGTCATGACAACCTACTGATCATCATCCAATGTTGCCGCGTCTTCAGTCAATTAAACCGAGTCGTGTGTCCAATCTCGTTGATAAAATAAAACAGTGGACAACATCGTCTGAGTGCCCGAATACAGTGGCACATAACTGCAGTTATTAATATTCATACTGCTGTGCTATTTCTAGTCAGTTTTGTGTAAAATAAATAAATAAATACTGTAAAGGGTTAATTATTCACTGGGTTTTAATTTAGCTTATTTCGCTGACTAAAAAATGTGCTAAATTAAAACCTAGTGAATATATAACATTTAGCATAGAACACATTATCTAAATGATAAAACCGTGGATTTAAAACCCACTGAATATGCCTGAAATGGTAAATCAGCAAGATTTAAACCCAGTGAAAATTAGTCATTTTACAGTATAAAGTGCATTGAAGTCAACTACACTGGTATCATATCACTAACGCACAATGACCTACAAACTGCATGGAATACATCTTGTTAATTCAAAGCCGGTTTGAGTTTTATTAAACCCTATTAAAGTTGAAGCTTATATATTTTGGTATCACAGCTTAGAATACGGGTGCTCAAAGTGTGCTTGTGAAAGGGACAGAATTTGAACAGCTAAGAGATGACATACACGGCCAACTCGCGTGCGGTACATATAAAATATAGGTTCTTCGCGTAATTAGGTGTTCGTACGCAAGGGATTTTTCCACACAAAAACGACGAATTAGGCCGAATTTTGTTATAACCCCAACGGACCGTATTTTTGTGAAAGATTGGTATTTTTGTCCTGATTTGTAGGAATCTGAAAAACACTTTCACAACTTGTCTCTTATTTAGTTTTATGCGTCATTCAAGATGGCGGCCCCCATATAGTAAATATCGTATTTATTTTATTATCACGTGTGCGCCAGCTGACTGTGAAAAGAACATACAGAATTGGCAACTGTTATTTAATGGAGGAAAGCGCCAACAGTGACTAAACTGGAAGAATATTTCTTTTTTATCGTCAACTTTTATGAAAACAAAAGCAATGCAATTTCTGTCGTTATAATTCTTCGTGAAATATATGCATTAAGAATTCGGAAGATTGATAACATTACACTAGCTTTCGAGCATGAATCTAAATTATATTACAATAAATGCGTACGTTATCCACGTGACCCCTTGTCCCGAACTTGTGTCACGTGTCTTTGTTGGGTTGTTCGTCATAGTATATGAATCTACACATCTCACCGAAAGCACTGGTCATTGTCTTTATCGTCTGCGGCGAGATGACGACATTCTTATCACGTCGTTCAAAGTTTCTAATCCATATATGGACAGTAAAATTATCAACCCACCACCGGAAATTCCCATAAAACATCGCTCTCCATCTACTTCCGGGAGGATAAATCAGACTCTGCTCTTCAACGTGGATAAGTCGGGGGTATTTTGCCGCCAAATAATTAGGATATCTTAAAGAATTGCAATTCCAACACGAGCGATCGTATCGCCTGTAACCATCGTAATAAAGCCGAAGAAACTGGGAATCTTTATTTGCAAAGATGATTCCCTTAGCGATAAAACCGGGGATTTCCCGTCCCATGACGCACTCGTAATGACGTAAATAATCCAATGGCTGTACTACAAATATATCTGGGTCCATGTACACACCGCCATGTTCCATGAGAATTTCGAGACTCGCAATATCTGCCTGGTGCCATCTCGCATTCAAAGTTAAGTTAAAGATGGTTAATGGTGGGTCACGGTGAATTATTTCTAGTTCGGGTACCTTTTGTTTCAGTTCGTCCCAGTATGCTCCCTCAGGTTCAGAGTCAGTGTGAAATAAAATGCGATCAGCTTTCATGATTTTGTGCGCGCTAAGTATGCTTAGGAGATGGTAGAATCGAAACGTATGGTTGCTGAACCAAATAAAATGAGCAACGTTTGGTACGACGGTGTCTTTGAAGAAGGGTGCTTCTCCTTGGCCATAATATGCAACGTCTTCTATCTTAGCTTTATTGGTATATGTACTGTTACTTGGCACGGCATCTCGTGATATATTTGAAGCTACAGTGGTGTTTAAAATTAACGACGATGCAGTGGTATTTTTCGCGATGTAAAATTTGTCTTCACTGCCTAAGGTGTTGTTTCTATTAGCAGGTAAAACACTAGTACGTTTCCATGGCACCACACCAATAATATCGGCCATGTTATAAGACAATATGATACAACATGCAATAGAGAAAAGCATAAACGCCGATAAGATCAAGTAGCGTTTTTTGTTGGTAGATGACGTCACAGCTGAGAAGTTTGGTGATGACATCACTACATCGGCCAATCTGATATTGAGTCTTATTTCATATTTAGAGTCTGCAAGAAAATATAATAAATATAAGTTAGAGTACATTAGGATAAGTTAATTAAAGGGCGGTGGTCGTCACGACGCGCCGTGTTCTACGTGGTTGTCTCATGCGACGTATTCGGCGTGATGAATTCGAACACAGACTACCGCCGGTCTATAAAACGAGGACATCAATACAGTTTGCTGCTCATACTTACAATCACGGTGCTTTCAGAGAGATTGACACTGGTGAACCTTGCATTTTAAATACACGTTCCCAGGACGGTATCCATGTCGCAATCATGTGTGATGGAGGGGTGGAAGCCGGGACGGCAGTCGGGAATAAGATGGGAGGAGAAACTGAATTGGTCAGGCGTTTATGATCATGCGGAGTCATATCGAGGACAAGTCGCGCCCTTCGCATTCACAATTTTAGTTAAATATTAACTCCACGCTAGTATACTAGTATATACATAACACTAAAATAATCCCAAGGATATTCACGTGCATTACATGCATCTACAACGAAATCAAGTGATGTATGGAGATGCTATTCATCCCAGGTGATACATTATATGTTCTTATTGGTGTATATTTTAAATGGAGATTATCCCGCATGGTCGATTACAGAATGCCGTGTTAAATTATGAACTGTGTATGAAACCAAATAAAGACTACATTAAGGGTGTATATAATGCATATAGTATAGTGACGTCATATACACATATGAACCCAATAATTTAGAATATTACTCACCTTAAAAATACTGCGTGTATTACTGTTAATAACAAAGCTGGGGCTGTTCAATGGACTTTGAACTGCCGGACTAATGTCTGCGCATGCGTCACAGTGAGACAGTTTCTGGTATTAGCCGGTTCACAAACTTCAACGTGATTACAGTGGAGATCTAAACATGTTTACCGAACTATTAAAGTCGTTCTTATGAAACTTATGAAAGAATATGCAGTTTCATTTGAACTTATATTATACAACTATACTTTAAACAAACTTGCTCGATTCATGGAGCTCTTTTTTTAGCTCCATGCTTGTTTTCACCAAAATTGTCATTTTCCGTGTAACACAATAAATAGGGTCTGATTTGTGGCTGTTTAAAAATCACTCAAAACAACGCAAATTAGTCTGTCTATCACGGTTTATACACGCATGGAGGTGGTATATTAGGAGATGATGTTGTCACCATCTTCACCAAGTACTGTAAATGCATTAATTACTCCCCGGGTTTTAATTTAGCTATTAATCCTGTACATTAAATACACGTGTACATGTAAAATAACAATAGAACTCATCGGCAAAGCAGTGACTGAAACCAAGTGAATATGATCAGAATATTAAAATAGTAAAAATAAATGGTTTTACTGCATCCCAGTCTGGCGGTGATGATAAAATGACCGTCATGAAAGTTGCACACTGAGAAAACGAGTCGTTCAATATTATAATAGTTCTCAACACGTCCGACTGTTGACAATCGTTTCGGTTCCCCGTTAGATTGTTTGTTACAGTGCAATTATTTGCTCCAATGCTTTTAAATGGAGTCACGACGAGTCGCATCTAAAAATTCCAATTCCAGGCAAAACCTAAAACACTTTCCGCAATTCATGCAACATTTGACGTAATAGACCTAAAATGCCAATGAATAATGTATTCTTATAATACCAAAATTCGTGACTTGTAACTTGTGAGTGAAAGTGATCAACACTAATTTTCGACATAATTACGTGAATAACTCTATGAATAATATTCGAATGAGTCAGTAGTACATCGATCAACAGCTTGCCAAAATAAACTATTATCAGATCTCCGAATTGCAGTCATACACATTAGTTTCACCAATAGTTGATTTTACGTTTGCTGTAAGATCACGCGTATTCCGAGTGGCTCGATTACAGCGCGTCTGTTTAATTCGTCAGTAACCACATACAATGCTATTATATAGCAACGGTTTCCATAGACCACTGTGACAGTGAACATACATTTCCTCGTTGAAAAAAACACTACAATATTTTTTCTAATACTTCAAGATACCACAAAGTAACATGTAAGACATTCTGTTTTTTACCATATGTCACTAATTTTGAGATATATCCGTTCCATGGGATACAATTTTCTTCATCCTCGTGGCCTGAAATATATACATAATGAGGATGTTTAAACTTCCGTGTAGCGTTCTCTACTCGCTTACTGTGGCCCGGTAAGAAGTTAAACAGTGTAATTTTAATCACATTTGTCACTGCCAAAAAAATGCCGTAAATAGGGGTTGATATGGGGATTTATAATAAGGAAATGCAGTCCAATCAATATAACTTTTACATAAAAAACACAGAGAAAGCATGTTTAATCTGTAATATTTATTTCTCATATTGTACGTTTCATAATAGTCACACTAATGGTACATATTTTGTATTCCTGCAATAATGGCCACATGTACTCAACGTAACAAATTTGTACTGATAACACAGAATTCTGCTGAACAATTACAATCATAGCCGACATTGTTAGCATACATGACGTCATCGGTATAAAATTTGGTAAAATCTATCAATCGAAGTAATTCTTTCCTCTGTATGTACAAATTCCTGATCTCGGTGAATTGAGAAACGGTTTCAAAACTCTTCCACGATGACCCTGAGATATTGAACAAGCTTTTGAACAAAAAAACTTCATCCCGCAGTCGTCGTCATCTTCTTCACGGACATTATCATCATTATCGTCATCACTTTCGTCGCTGTCGTAAGGACCATCATCCATGAAAAACATCGTTGATTTCCGATAACAATGTGCACATGGCATGACAAGCATCTCATTTCTTATCAAGGGACGAATGATTTTGACATTGGCCTTCTCTTGTTGTAGAGGGCGTTTTAGACGTCGTTCACCTAAAATTGGAAGAGAATACGAAAAGCGGGTTACATCGACTACAAATACTTAGTAAATGTAAATCTGTGCATTCATTGTAAAGCTGGTTTAATAACTCACCTATATAATCTACAAATATCGATGTAGTGTAGTTGCCGCCATAGTCATACGTCATTCGTACGCCATCTTGAAGATACTGACGTAATGGAGTATCTATTGGACCTATGTCGTCACCGACCATAAGTCCATATGCTGTCGTCAGTGTCATTACAGGGTCAGGGTCGTCATCGGTGTCCTGAAAACAATATCAATATCAAATTAACATTAGTAATCAAAACATGAGGTAACGATTTAACCATGTGACAAAAATTGATTGTGTAATTGGTCATGGACACTGTTATCTCGCGCACTCCAGCAGGTATCACCAGAGCGCGTAGTCTGGTTCCCTGTCCAAGTTTTCACCGCCCTCAGCGTTGAAATAGGGCAGGGAACCAGACTACAGAGCGCGCATCGAACGTTGTGCGTGTATACTGTACCCGCATTCTTCACAGAATTTTGCTACAAATACACAGTATCATTCAAGCATGCTTGAATAAAGCTCATTGTTATAGCTTTAAAGTGGTTCGGAACGTAGCTGTGAATTATTTCACATTATTGTTGAGTCAATATGGCGCCACTGGCAAAAAATGTATTCACAATACACAGCGTACACCCCAGCTCACCGTTGCGTGTGATCGTGATAGTATTTCTTGTGACGTCATATTACTAATAATGTTTAGATTCATACATACCTTTAAGTTCGTAAATGCATCAGCAGCATATACGTCAAAAGAGCGTGCATGACCAAAACAACATTGCATCCAGGTAAATCGAAGTAATAAATCAATGTCTTCAAACGATGCATCTAATGGAACGGCCAGATACAATTCAAACTTCTCTGTAACAAACAATACAAATGTATTGTTATTTTATATTTGTTGAGACGGATAAGTGAATGCGAAGTTGAAGACATGTTATAAGAAAACAATGGTGAAATGGTGCTTAGTCGGAACTGACGTACGCCGGCGCCTTTAACCGTAGTCCCCAACTTAACAATAGGGCGGTATGACATTTTTTAAGTCGATAAAAATGTCGACCTTTCTTCCATTTTTACTGAAAGCTTATTTTTTCCGCATTTCGATCTTTACATAATTGTTTATTTTATACAATTTTAGAAGACGTATTTGCATACACAATACAATAGAATATAATCAGCTTCTGTTTATGTATATCGATAATCTCCGCACATTCATATAGTAATTACAGTCACCAGTGCCACACACTTACCAGCCCAATAGACACTTCGAGCATTTAATAAATAAACATCAGATGGACCATCATTGTTAAACCAACATTCGTCAAGATGAGATAACTTATCACTGTTAGGTACGCTCTGACGACAGCCACTACATTTCATCGATAGCGGAACCTTCCATGGATTACCCGCTGGCTTTACTGCAATAGATGTACCTGCATTACCTGCAATAGTGCATTGGGGTGAAATATGGTTAAATACGTTAGCAGTGAATCCCCGTAAGAACGATGTTTCTCCTACGCTACATGTACACAACATTAAATACGTTCACGTCACACATACAATGTATATCCTATATAAATCTATGAACAAATGTGGAGGAATCAATGACTATGTGAACAAAATAGCGAAACACTATTATTTGACTCAAATATATGAACAACACACCTGTGAGCTCGGATGTCAGCATTTCTTCGGTAGCTATTGTTTCCTTTTGTATTTTAATCATTCTTTTCTCTGCAAAAACATGTAGATTTTTGATTATATAGTAATCGTTAACGATGTGCTTAAACTAAATGGACAAGGTCTTTCTACCGGAGTATCATCGTCAATTTTGCTGGAGTGATCATATGACAACAAAAGTCTGTGACACAGTTCAGTTCATAATGTGTATTTATAGTAAAACAATTACTACGCTATAAGAAAAAGAATGTCAAGTTCATAGAATGAGTGCATCAGCTGGAGCGTCTTAAAAACATGGTCTATGATTTTACTGCATACTTACCGGTACAGTCCTCACAGATTTCTCAAGAGAATACCTTCAAAGTAAATTTGTAGAATACGAGCACTGATAATTAAACCCTTATTAATACTTTAGTGCGCAGCGTGGTTCTCTTTATATACACTTACTGACTGGCGTGTGATGGCGCTCTAAGCTTGCAATGTGAACCAATCAGAAACGGTTCTTCCCGAGTGTGGACAACCAATCACTGACGAGAAGTCACCGGAAACTCGTTAGACATCAAGGTGAACACCTTCTTTATTGCCCATACTGTGGTTTTCCCTGTGTCTACAGCGAAGGAATGAATACAGTTAATACAAACTATTAGTACACTTTATGATTCTTATTCTTTAATACATGGACAATAATTGTGTCTTGTTTTTCCCAAACATGGGTGTGCTAGAAAAGGTACTCGGCGTAACATTTGGATTCAGTGGATTATATCTGGGACTTAAACAACGGTTTTAATTGTTTACCATTTAAAATGTGAAAACCCAGGATCCGGCACAAAGAAATCGTTCATCGCCTAATAATTTGCGATATTGTATTTGCACCAGCGATACATTACTGAAATACGTCGTGTGATGGCGCTTTATTCCGGCATTTGCTCGACATGCAATGCGGGATGACGTGCTTGGCAATATGAGTACAAAAGGACGGGCACGTAAAAAAAGGATGAGAACATAAGCGTGTACTCTGTAGAGTCTATGGTCAAAAGTTATTCAGTTCAGCACAAATTCAAAACCAAATACGATGGTCGTGTTCACACGGCAGTAAATCAATTGTTGTCGCATGGTGGCGCTCACCAAAATTTTGCCAGTGAAAACGATAAAGAGGTATTTGCATGTGAGTTGATGGATACACTTCCCGAATAATATTCCTCACACACTCCCTCTTTGAAGGAGGAACTGTATGATATATTTATTGAAACTTTAGAGGATACGAAAAAAATACACACCGAGAACACATTCGTTTATGGGGGGGGGGGTTGTAAAACAAAAACCGTCCGTAAAGTACAGTGGTCGGAAATAATGGTGTCAATTACTTCATTTTAACCGACAGACGTTAAACGTGCGCGTCTCTCCCTTCTTTGTCTTCACAAACACGTCACACACTCTTTCTCTCACGGTGTGCTTGGTCTGATGAATATCCCGGAAACATACCGTATGACTGTCAATCAGTGCATCCATGGATACATCGACAGACGTATGAGTTCCTCTTTCGGTGATCGCCATCTTGTGACAGCCATTGAATTAGTGCATGTTATATTGTACCACAGTCAGAGGGACTGTGATTGTACACAGTACAGAACCATTGTATTTCACTGGAATGTACTTTGAACTGAGTAACTTTTGTCCTGTGTTCTCATCTTTGTTTTTACACACGCGGAAATTATTATAAACAGGTACATTTTAGCATATATTTTACAGAAGAGGTATGGTTTCACAAACCTATGGCAACATCACACTACATCGTTTCAAATCTTCGGGATCCTCATTCTCAATTTGTTTCTTAACAATGGCTGGACTGATTGATTTGATATTCCTTTCTTATTTGCATCTAAAAGAGCGGAACTATATCAGCCGACAGATTGCTTGTTTAGGAGCTTTTACACTATTCTTGTTATTATATTATTCTATAATTGAGGAACACATGTTGCTGTACTATTATTTTTATTAACTTTATATATAATTCATGATATATTTATTGTTCTATGAGATTTATTGAGATTAATACTGCACATAAAGTATTACTTGAAGAACATTAATTCTTAATTAATGTTTTTGTGATTAGGGTGACTTCATTGTTCTTGACAAATGTTGGTAAGGATTGTTTCCACTTTAGACAGTATTTTTCGCGCAAAATGTTTTGATATGTTATTGCACGTGTGTTGGTTGATCGAGAGATGTATTGATTTACAACTATAATGTATGTTTCCGGGATAAGAGGACAAAAGTAAACCCCCTTCAGACCTAGTATTCGAATACATGGCGTAGACCCATTCACTTTACACTCCCATTCATTCTACCATCATCGCGTTGTTACACACCTGATAAGATTTCTTGATTAATTATTCTCACACATTTCCTCTATTAAAGAGGGATTGCATAGTGTATATGGGCCTGAGATTAACCACATTTGTTTATAGAGGGCGTACGGAACAAAACAAGTTCATCAGATACATTGTTATTCGTAGATTACTAGTCGAGGTACTAGTCTCAGGTCGGACTGTTGTCTGACAGACGTTACACTACGTATGCACCTCTTCCCGCCTGTTGTCTTCACAGACACATGTAGTTACACTACTTGGTCGGATGCATATCCCGGAAACATCCAGTATGACTGTTAATCACTGCGCCTAATGGTCTATCAATTCACCACTTTTGGTGAGCGCCACCGTGCGACAGCGATTGATGTATGGCATGTTACATTCGATAGGATCATCGTATTTGGTTGGAATGACGTTGAACGAAATAACTAATGTTCTCAACCTTGTTTCTACACGCACGAAAAATATATGCTCGTTAATTTTCCGAGGTAATATTAAACTTTTTGTAACAATACATATTTGTTTTAATAAATGCGCCGATCTTATCAGTTTACTCGTATCCATGTTTTGGGGCTCGAGGGTAACATTTTAAAGTTTGGATGATTGAGATATACACAGACATTTACCCTAACTCAAGTTTTGACTCGATATTTTGTTTATTTAGAGGAAATGTTGTAATTATTGAAATAATAATTAATTATATGCATTGAAAATATTATGTTATCACAATTTTGGACATCAAAACCCGCCTACCAACACCGGTTAATTTCTCTGTCAGACTGTAGTTAAAGGAACCGCTTAACGTGGTTGTTAATAACGTGTTAATCTTTACTCACAGCTTTACTCCGCCAAAAGAGCAGTATGTTTCAAATACTGGTGTCTCGAATCGCACCTATAAACGTGTGAATTGAAAAAGCACGTTTTACCAACCTCAACGTCAACAAACTGTTAAACCTACACCAGTTCCTTTATTCCCGGTCTGGAAACGAAATGCTATCTATTGTGCCAAAGCTCGTCGTGAGCATGGAGGTCTCTTTTCTACCTCCATGTCGTGAGTGAATAAACTGGTGAAAGTATTCCAGAAATTATACCATCTGTGACGTGACCCAAAACAGGTGTGTATATAATTAATAAAAAAAAAACAAGCAAAACAAAATCATTGACAATCAATAATCCCATCATTAAGACATCGCCTTATTGGTTTTATTGACACATTCAGTGTCTTAAAATACATCGTTTTTATCATCAAAATTATATATTCACAACCAACCGGCCAATTATAACATTTGCCGTTGTTTTATTAGTTTTGCGAACAGGGACAGAAAATTGAGTATGTTCACACGACGATGACCCGAACTTCACAGCGTAAATAGCTCATAATTCCACATGGAGAAACATCACACAGAATAACGAATTGTACTGTCAAAACGTGAAGTTCTGTAATTGAAACTTATTCGTACTTAATGGGTTTCATTCTTGGCAAATCTCGACCAAACCACTGTGACAGTATAGGTCCGCATCATGTTCATGACCCTGTCAGTCGAGATGCCGAATTGTTCGAATTACGGACATCGTGTTACGATTTGGACGTGGTTTTACGTAGTTTCTAAAATATGGGCGTGGCCAACTCAGCATCTACCAATTTGTTGAAAAGCTCAACACAATAATTCGGGCATAATGTGCGCGTTAAAATCAACGCCTTTTTGTATATGTCACGTGACAGTGTAATATTTTTCAGGCATTGCTACCGCCATATTAAATGTGCCGAAAATTTCATGTCGATAATGAGGACCGATATGGATGGTAGAAACCTTCCATGTTTAACCAGACTATAGTATGTTGATACAGCTGCTTTAAAATGGTGCAAGTCATTCATAAATAATCAAAATACGCAAATTCAATCCACTCGACATAACAAATAAAGGAACAGTTTGGTAGTGTTTATTACTCAAAATATACATGCAACCACAGATATGAACAGATGAATGGCAATGATTTGTATAAGCAGGGAGCTGTCTCATTACAGCTCCCTGGTTAAGTAACGAAGCATTGTTGGAATGAGTGAAGTCATCAAACAGAAATTAAATTATTCTTTTATTGTCAAATGGTTTCAAAACTCTTCCACGATGACAGTTGTACGATTGTTTATAGCAATCCTCACACAACATGAAATGTATCTCATTTCCGATTACGGGACGACGAATGTTCTTGACATTGGACTTCTTCTGCTGTACAGAGCGTGGAAGACAATCACCTAAAACGACAATATGAAGAACGTGTTACACTGACTGCAAAGTGACAACTATTGTACTAGACATTCATAGGTCTCATGTGACGAACACAGCGCGGGTAAAACCATAGTCTATGGGAAAATCTATTGTTTGTTTACACGAAAGTCGAACGCGTTGAACGACGACCATCGCTTTAACTTTAATTCATCGTACAGTTGACTTAATTACTTACTTATATTAATACCTGTAGATACTGATGTGTCACTAATATATTCATACATCATTCGTTCGGCATCTTTAATGTCCTGAAAACACAAAATCAGTAATTTATAGAGCATTTTAAGTCCGTCTGTTTCACCATGAGGAACACTGTAATCAGTCACACACTCACGGCACTGACGGATTCTCATGTTTTATATGATCACGTGATTAATCTCTCCACTCTTCGGTATCAAGGTGCCATCAAAGTGACGTGGCAGTACGCCGCAGTAGTAAATAAAAATTAACGCTGCTCGGACCGAAAAATATGATAACAATAGGCAATTATACTATAACTTATAAGTAACTATTCAAAATAGACGTTTCGAACTTAACTAGCAAATATTAAATATTATATGCTTGGTCTTAGTGCACATCCCGGAAACACACAGTATGACTGTCAATCATTAAATCTATTGCTTTTTCAATACACGTGTGACACCTCTTTAGTGTTTTCGTTGGCGTGATTCTGGTGAGCGTCAACGTGTGCTTGGTCTTAGTGCACATCCCGGAAACACACAGTATGACTGTCAATCATTTAATCTAGTGCTTCTTCAATACACGTGTGACACCTCTTTAGTGTTTTCGTTGGCGTGATTCTGGTGAGCGTCAACGTGTGCTTGGTCTTAGTGCACATCCCGGAAACACACAGTATGACTGTCAATCATTAAATCTATTGCTTTTTCAATACACGTGTGACACCTCTTTAGTGTTTTCGTTGGCGTGATTCTGGTGAGCGTCAACGTGTGCTTGGTCTTAGTGCACATCCCGGAAACACACAGTATGACTGTCAATCATTTAATCTATTGCTTTTTCAATACACGTGTGACACCTCTTTAGTGTTTTCGTTGGCGTGATTCTGGTGAGCGTCAACGTGTGCTTGGTCTTAGTGCACATCCCGGAAACGTACATTATGACTGTCAATCATTAAATCTATTGCTTCTTCAATACACGTGTGACACCTCTTTAGTGTTTTCGTAGGCGTGATTCTGGTGAGCGTCAACGCTTTGTTATTATTGGGAACAGCACAAGATCATCTTTTTTTGCCTGGGGTTTATGTTGGACTAAATAATCTTTGCTGTACGTTGAAGATCTGTTTCGTCAAATAACTATTTTATCGAAATATTTTCTAATAATAATAATTATATTTATTCAGCACCAGCCGAAAAATACTAAGTGTGGTCGAGGTAATAAAAAAATAAATGAATATGTAAATACACACTAAAGCAATTGATAAAGGAGACATTACATGTGAATATGAACGCTATTTTAGAGCGTGGTGTACAAACGTTGCCAACAATTACGTAAAATACACGGACGGGTGAAACACATAAAAATTTAGCTGTGTATGTAATACCCATGAATATATGTTTCGTTTATTTTATTTTTGGAAAGCTGGACAAATTAAACAAAAATGGCACTCGTCTTATATATACCACATAGTATAGACCACAGAAATGCATATCTAGGGACTGTGTAGTGCCTGCCGGTTTTAATTTTTAGCGTAAGCGACATACGCAGTTTGCCTGCCCGAATACCATGTTTTCAATGCATTCAAGATGTGGTTCTAACCAAAGACATTTTCTATTGTCTTTGTTCTAACTTGGAGTTCAATTTAAAAAGTTTGTGTTGCTCGAGTTTTAAAAATGTGATCAACTCTTCTTGGCAATATTGAAAATTGAAATCTACTCAACGCTTTTTAAATACTAGTACGTATATATCGTTACTTCGACATTGGTTGAAACGGACTTCACCGGAACTAAACGAAAATAATGAACTTTTAAAATTGTATGCCCAACACTTTGCAATTGAAATTCATAACAATGGAAAATTATAACGATTCGCATTTATTTTTAGTATACGCATCAAATATAATACCTAAAAAACTAAATTGTTTAAGTTTATCTCTACCAGCTAATTTAATTGGCGGGTATTTTAGTACACATTTACAGAAATCATATAGTGGGCATTAATGCCCCTTGCTACTGTGTAAACCTCATATTTCGGACTCATACAGAAGGATTATCACTATTTTACCTTCAAATATTCATACAAAAAAAGATTTACGCACGTGATTCGCTAAATGTTTTTTGTGCTTTTTACCACTCTCATCACTTGTCAAAACACAGTCTGATTTTTAACTCCATTTAGAACAATGCAAATTGATTCAATAGGCGTTCCAGACCGACAACATTACTACTGTAAGAGTTGTCCACATACAAAAGGAAACGCATTTTCATTGCATAAAAGTGTAGCCCCAGAAATAATTCACTCCGTCCAATTGTTCTTGAGTGCCATTTTCAACACTCCGAGACACGGTTACTGGGTGATTTAGTAGACTAGTAGTCTTCTAGTACCCGTGTTTGAAATTAAGAATCATATAGTTTTAACCGTATTTTCTATTAACTGTACATATTTCTCGGTTAGAGGAGTAGAAACAGGGAGGGTTGTTTAAAATAATAAAGGAAGTAAGCTTGATGTCTAATGCGTTTCCGGTGACTTCTTATTAGTGATTGGTTGTTCATATGCGGGTAGGACGTTTTCTGATTGGTTCACTTCGTTGACGCTTCAAATTCAGAGCGCCATCACACACCAGACAGTAAGGTATAAAACGAGACTCCTTTTCCACATTAACGTATAATTGTGGCTGAGTTCTTAGTGCTGTATTCTAAAATTTACTCAGAAAGTATTCTCCTGAATTCTGCGAACAGCAAATCGGTAAGTACATGGTTAGACAAATTTGATAGGCATGCCGTATGTGTGGAATTTGCTGCAATACATGTATAAATGGGATTTTTAGTTAAACGGCATTACCACGGCACTACAAACCACAGTAGTTCCATGGTATGAGAGAAATTCGTGACATTTTTATCTGTTCATTTCTGAAAATTCAGCGCAAATGATCAACGTTTCATTTCATTTTACGCATCCCATCACCTCAATGGTACTGCGTCAGACCATTGTTTTATATTATTCATCTCTATTATAGAAACAAACATGATTAAAGTACAGAAATATACAACAGCTACGGGACACATTATACAAATGCCGGCTCCAGGATTCACAAGTAAGTTATTTTTCTCTTCAAGTCGAGTAGGAGATGCATTTTCTATTCTATACTGTTGTCTTTGGCGTGGTTTTCTTTACTATTATGTTCATTCACTTTTGTTGTTTACAGATATGAAATCCTCCGACAAGTACAAATATAAAAACCTTCAACAACTAAAGGAAATGTTACGTAAGCGTCACCTTCCAATCGGTGGAAATAAAAATGAGTTGGTTGAAAGATTGAAGTTATCAGATCTCAATGTTTCAGAGTTAAAAATTAAACTTAAGAAGGAAGGTCTCCCGGTTAATGGTTCCAAACCCGATTTGGTAAAGCGACTTCTGAAGGTCAAGGGGCAGCGTGCAGAGAACTATGATCAAATTCAAGGTCAGTAGTCTGGATATACTACAATTTAAAATCTACAGTTATTAGCTACAAACTCTCTGGTTAAATAATTGTGGTACATGCATCGTGAGCACCTTATGGCCCGAGCGATTGACACTGTTCACGTGGACCTGCGTGGCCCACAAACAGATAACTTGAATACGCATCTAATACAATCCGTTTCAGTCAGGGTTCGAATGCACAACAAATTGTCACAAATTAATTAAGAACGTTAATCAACAGAGGGAAAGAATGTAGCAGTTTATGTAGGCAGACAAAATAGTTTTATTGGTCTATCAGTAAATATACAAATAAACTGTTTCTTTGCACGTTGTGCTTCTGGTTGTTGAGTTCCACTCAACATTTCAATTCCACTCAGGGTCCGCATTTTTTTGGTTCGTTTGAATGTGTTTCCACGGGGAATTGCGTGAATAAATTATATCAGGGCCGGATCGACCAAACTGTTTTGGGGCCGGATCGTTTTTTTTTTTACCAGGGCCGGAGCGTCCTGACACTATCGTAGAGCTAAGTACAGTTAGTACTGAGCTTCAATAATGTGACACTATAATTCACCTATATACTCATGCAGATAATAATGGTACACCTAAGCCAGTTAAGCCGTCGGGTAATCCATGGAAGGTTCCGCTATCGATGAAATGTGGTGGGTGTGATCAGAGCGTTCCTAACAGTGATAAGTTATCTCATCTTGACGGCTGTTGGTTTACAAATGGTGGTCCATCTGATGTGTATATATTACATGCTCGAAGTGTCAACTGGGCTGGTAAGTATGGCGCATTGGTGGCGTTTATGTTCCGTCAGTGTGGTATAAACAATACCTGTGCATATGCAGGTGTGAATCGTCTCACATTAATTTTATGGAATCGATCGAACCATCGACAAAAATCAATCACCCAAGATTTATGAAATAACATCATGTTATCATTTCGTGCTGCTAAATCACATTGCAATAAATAGTCGTGTTACATTGGAAGGTATTAGAATGAAACCGTACAGCGCTGCACTGCAAGTCTGAGTGCCGATCCGTACACATAGATGGTTAAAACAATGGCTTACACTGTCTAACGCAACTCCGGCAAGCCTGCATATTCACAAGTATAGTTGTGAAACCAACGCTGGCAAGTTCAGCGCCGAGCTCGTTTTGGCGTAGGGTTCTCACGTTTTTCCACGGGCGAAGGCAGATTCCTACTAAAGTAATTTATTTTGTATTCTCAGAGAAATTCGAACTGTATCTGGCCGTTCCATTAGATGCATCGTTTGAAGACATTGATTTATTACTTCGATTTACCTGGATGCAATGTTGTTTTGGTCATGCACGTTCTTTGGATATATATGCTGCCAATGCATTTACCAACCTAAAGGTATGTCACAAGTAACAGTTACACGTAGATTTCACGTCGTGTGGTGGCGCTCTGTGGAACAATTCACACTCCTAATCGATATGCGTTTTACGCTAAACCGCATTGTTATTCCTATATTTAAAGTTGTATTCCCACTTTGTGTGATGTGCAGAAAACCCGATTTAGACGTCGTGTGATGGCGCTCTGTAAGTTTTGATTGACTAATAACACTCCACATTGTATTCCCACTTTGTGTGATCTGCTGGAAAAATTCTAACCTAAAAGTTTGATTTGGGGAGAGGTCGCCTGTTTATATTACAAAGTAGAAAAGTCATAATTAATTACCACATCTACTTTTGTTTTCAGGACACCGATGATGACCCTGACCCCGTAATGACACTGACGTCAACTTATGGACTTATGGACGATGACGACATAGGTCCTTTGGATACTCCATTACGTCAGTATCTTCAAGATGGCGTACGAATGATGTATGAATATGGCGGAGACTACACTACATCGATATTTGTAGATTATATAGGTGAGTTATTAAACCAGCTTTACAATGAATGCACCTATTTAAATTAACTCAGTTTCTGTAGTCGGTGTAACACGTTCTTCGTATTTTCTTCCCATTATAGGTGAACGACGTCTAAAACGCCCTCTACAGCAAGAGAAAGCTAATACCAAGATCATTCGTCCCGTGATGAGAAATGAGATGCTGGTCATGCCGTGTGAGCATTGTTATAAGAAATCAACGATGTTTTTCATAGATGATAGTCCCTATGACAGCGACGACAGCGATGAGGACAGTTTCAACGAAGATGGAGATGACTGCGGGATGAAGTTTTTCTGTTCAAAAGCATGTTCAGTATATCAGGGTCATCGTGGAAGAGTTTTGAAACTGTTTCTCAACTCACCGAGATCGGGAATTTGTACATACACAGGAAAAAATTACTTTGATTAGTAGATTTTACCTGAGTTTAAACACATGGTGTCATTTATTCAAGCAATGTCGACCAATGATTGTAATGGTTCATCACAATACTGTGCTATCGTCACAGAACTTTGTGCCATTATTCGAACTCACCAAGATTGAGAATTTGTACATACAGAGGCCAAAACTACTTCTGATTTGTAACCGTGACGGAAATGCTTTAAATGTTAATTAAGAATTGATTTGTAATTTAATAAAGATTTGTAATCATGACGTCATACATTCCAACATTTTTTTACTTCCCTTTTTAAACAATCAATTTATGGTAGAATAATATGGTAGAAAACTATGCTTATGTCATCTTATGTTACATAACAAGTCCTGTGTATGTTTTGAGTAATAAACACAAATTTTAAACATGCTATAATCGTGTTGTCTCGAGTAGACACCAATTGGTGCATATTTTTTAGGATTTGTAAATTCAAAAACCATGGCTCTGACGTAAAATGTATTGATTACATAACTAATGCCAATGTACTATCACTGCTGGTGACATCGACATGACGCAAGGTTTGAATGTTAGACATGATTTATTAATAAAGTTAGAAAAGAACCTGTATTTTCCTAATTATGGAAAGAAAGGAAGGACTGTGGAAATATTCAAAAGTGATGATTTTTAAGAACCCCTCGAAACTAATGATTGTGTTGGAATTCTCAAGTGTCAACTGGACGATAACAGCTATAGTTAAAGGTTAAGAGGACTAATGGTAGTTAACATGCCATTAATTACCATTAGTGCCGAATTACCATGATTAACAAAGTAAAACTGTGTATTATGCAGCCCCAACGCAGGCTGTGTGTTGTCAATGTGTACATTTGTTACATAACTCCAAGAATGAGTTGTAGAAATCGCATCTGATTCATCTACAAATGCTTTCAACTACAAACCACCTGCTTAGCTCATTCAGTAGACTGACCATAAATTCACACACACAGCTCATCAATCCCAGGGTGTACCTTGAACAGATTTTTCATGAAAGTTAAGCCACCCAGGGTGAAATATCAAAAGGGTTTCTATAAAATGAAACTTTATTCATATAGCTTGCAATCCATGTGCAAAGACAAACAACTTAAAACAAGAAACATTTTCTACTGCTACAAACTATTTACACATGCGGTAAGTAAAACACATTACAATATAAACATCAAATAAATAAACTTTTTTTCTGTCTAAAATATGGAAAATAAGCGGACAAAGAAAATACAAAACTTTTACAGCAAAGTATTGGGACAGATTTCTTTGATTTGTTACCCCTTGGGATATGTCTTCTAATCTATGAATGGACACCAAAGAATCATGAGGTTACCTTTTGTGCTGCTTTATCTGGTGTGCATAAAAAGTTTGACAAACAATTTGTAAACTTGAAAAGGCAACTGGAGGCCTGAAATCAACATGTTAGGTACGAAACTGAAGCTGGAGTTTGTAAACAGGTACTTCTCGACGACAGGAAGTACAGTAATTCCCATTAGCTAAAATGTCATGCACACGATAGCCTAGATTGCACAAGCAGATATTGTTTGGTTATATACAGAATGAATACTTGTGAAAATATAATGAAAATATTCAATAGCATGATAAAAAATATGCTATTATATGCTAAAAGCTGGGTTGTTGTGCCCTGGAGGTGCTGACCAGAAGCAACATTTAAGCAGCAAATCTGAATATGCAACAGTACACTGACAAAATCACCCTCACATAATTATATCTTAAGTACTGAACTGATAGATACACCATAACTATTAAACACTGGGTTTAATTTGTTAACTGCCAGATCACCCAAATCATATCTCAATTCAAAATTAAATCCCTTAAAATCAATTTCTCCATAATTCTTGTAAAATAATATTTCAAAGCTGAAATTTTATTTTAATCACCTGTCGAGTAAGATTAATGAAAAAAATACCTTATACTTACAATATCCTCAGTACAAGGAAAACAAACAATCATGAATGTAGGTGACACAATATGTGCATTAATGACTGTTAAACACACTTCAAGTAACAAAGATTGGCAGTTTGTGAGACTGTTTAAAGCACTATAGTTGTTGCGCACTGCATGTCTGATATGATATGACACAGCACAACAACTGTATCACTTTAAGCATGTGTGCTTAAAACCATTTCCAACCAAAATCAATTGTGATGCATTTTTTTTTAATGGCATTGTGAACTGATAAAACAGGTGATGTTAATGTTAAAATGTTAAAATCATCACTTTCTGGTAAAAAATAACTTTCTATTCATAACACACTGCCTTGTTTGATCTATCATTATATATTTTGTGTAACAAATACTTACATACTGAATATATGGAAGGAATTTTTCACTTAAAGCTAAAATGTATCATATTTATATTAAGTAGAATCAGAGGTACATGACTTGTGATTTACTTGAAAGGGATCTTGGCATGATGTCACCATACATCGCTGACTGGAAAATGCGCTAAATTAAAACCCAGTGAATATGTAAAATTATGCATAGAACACATTATCTGAATGATAAAACCGTGAATTTAAAACCCACTGAATATGCCTGAAATGGTAAATCAGCGATATTTAAACCCAGTGAAAATTACCGGGGTAGTCATTTTACAGTATGCAAAGCATGAGAATATGCATCTCGCTAGAACTGGTTATGAAAGTTGCTAACCCTCATATTATAAATGCTAGGTAGAATACACGTATATGCTTCAATGACATAAATATACTGTGGAATACTTTATTTTCGCTGGAATTAATTTTCGCTGAAAAGGCTTTTCGGGCATTTTGTATGGAATTTATTTTCACTGATTTTTGATGAGTTTAATGTAAAATATAGGAAAAAAGTATATTCACTGAATTTTATTTTCACGGAATCATCCCTTCAGCGAAAATAGCGAAAATAAATTCCAAGCGAAAATAAAGTATTCTACAGTATATAACTCAACAAAACATGTTTGAATGCAACTCATTGTGGAATGCAACAAAGTCTGCAGTAGTTCAGGAACTGTACACGAAATTCCATGATTACTGTCAGAGGCTGTCAACCTGCAAGCATATACCGGGTACTCTCAAAAGGAAAGTGAACATTATTTTTT